CGGAGCCCTCTGGGGCCGTCTTGGGGGCCTCTTGGGGCCCTCTTGGCGCGTCTTGGGCCTATCTTGGGGCGTCCCGGGGCCCTCTGGGGCCGTCTTGGGGGGCCGTCTTGGGCTGTCTTGGGGCGTCTTGGGGCCGTCTGTGGGCCCTCTTGGCCCGTCTTGAGGCCCTCTTGCGGGCCTCGTCGGTGGTCTTGGAGCGGTCTTGGGGACCTCTTGGGCCGTCTTGGAGCGCAGGGACGGCGAAAAGGGGAGAATGCGAAAAACATCGAAAAACACAGCAGAAATCTGCGATTTCTCCCACTCGGGGCCCTGCTGGGAAGCCTCTGGGAAGGCCTCTTGGGGCATTTTGGCCGCCTCTGGGGCCGTCTTGGCCCAAGGGACTAAAAAAGAAATCTTCGGCGTCTTGGGCCGGACACACCCCCAAGTAAATCTTCGGGGCTTCCCGGTAGCCCTCGCGCCTTGTCTTGGGGGCCTCTTTGGGGCCCTCTTGGCGCGTCTTGGCCTATCTTGGGCGTCCGCGGGGCCCTCTGGGGCCGGTCTTGGTGGCCGTCTTGGGCTTGTCCTTGGGCTTCTTGTGACCGTCCCTGGGGGCCCCATCTTGGCCGTTCTTGGAGGCCCTCTTGCGGGCCCGTCGGTGGTCTTCCCCCTCCCACCACACTGGCTTCTCGGGCCTCCTTGGTCGTCGTGGAGCGCAGGGACGGCGGAAAGAGGGGAGATGCGGAAAAACATCGGAAAACCCAATGAAGGGGGGGCGAGGGGGGAGGCGAAAAAGTAAGAAATCAGAGATTTCTCCCACTCGGGGCCCTGCTGGAAAGCCTCTTGGGAGGCCTCTTGGGGCATTTTGGCCGCCTCTGGGGCCGTCTTGGCCCAATCTTCGGCGTCTTGGGCCCATCTTGGGGCGTCCCGGAGCCTTCTGGGGCCGTGGGCCTCTGGAGGCCCTCTTGGCGCGTCTTGGGCCCATCTTGGGGCGTCCCGGGGCCCTCTGGGGCCGTCTTGGGCTGTCTTGGGGCGTCTTGGGACCGTCTGGGGGCCCTATTGGCCCGTCTTGAGGCCCTCTTGCGGGCCTCGTCGGTGGTTTTGGAGCGGTCTTGGGGACCTCTTGGGCCGTCTTGGAGCGCAGGGACGGCGAAAAGAGGAGAATGCGAAAAACATCGAAAAACACAACAGAAATCGACGATTGCTCCCGCTCGGGGCCCTGCTGGGAAGCCTCTGGGGAGGCCTCTTGGGGCATTTTGGCAGCCTCTGGGGCCGTCTTGGCCCAATCTTCGGCGTCTTGGGCCCATCTTGGGTCCCAGGGCCCTCTGGGGCAGTCTTGGGGGCCTCTTGGGGCCCTCTTGGCGCGTCTTGGACCTATCTTGGGGCGTCCCGGGGCCCTCTGGGGCCGTCTTGGGGAGCCGTCTTGGGCTGTCTTGGGGCGTCTTGGGACCGTCTGGGGGCCCTCTTGGCCCGTCTTGAGGCCCTCTTGCGGTCCTCGTCGGTGGTCTTGGAGCGGTCTTGGGGACCTCTTGGGCCGTCTTGGAGCGCAGGGACGGCGAGAAGGGGAGAATGCGAAAAACATTGAAAAACACAATGGAAATCGACAATTGCTCCCGCTCGGGGCCCTGCGGGGAAGCCTCTTGGGGACGGGCGGGGGAGGAGGGGGGGGGAAGGGGGGAGGCCTCTTGGGGCATTTTGGCAGCCTCTGGGGCCGTCTTGGCCCAATCTTCGGCGTCTTGGGCCCATCTTGGGGCGTCCCGGAGACCTCTGGGGCCGTCTTGGGGGCCTCTTGGGGCCCTCTTGGCGCGTCTTGGGCCTGTCTTGGGGCGTCCCGGGGCCCTCTGGGGCCGTCTGGGGCCGTCTTGGGCTGCCTTGGGGCGTCTTGGGACCGTCTGGGGGCCCTATTGGCCTGTCTTCAGGCCCTCTTGCGGGCCTCGTCGGTGGTCTTGGAGCGGTCTTGGGGACCCCTTGGGCCGTCTTGGAGCGCAGGGACGGCGAAAAGGGGAGAATGCGAAAAACATCGAAAAACACAATAGGAATCAGCGATTTCTCCCGCTCGGGGCCCTGCTGGGAAGCCTCTTGGGAGGCCTCTTGGGGCACTTTGGCCGCCTCTGGGGCCGTCGTGGCTCAATCTTCGGCGTCTCGGGCCCATCTTGGGGCGTCCCAGGGCCCTCTGGGGCCGTCTTGGGGGCCTCTTGGGGCCCTCTTGGCGCGTCTTGAGCTTATCTTGGGGCGTCCCGGGGCCCTCTGGGGCCGTCTTGGGGGGCCGTCTTGGGCTATCTTGGGGCGTCTTGGGACCGTCTGGGGGCCCGAGCCTCTTGGCCCGTCTTGAGACCCTCTTGCGGGCCTCGTCGGTGGTCTTCCAGCGGTCTTGGGGACCTCTTGGGCCGTCTTGGAGCGCAGGGACGGCGAAAAGGGGAGAATGCGAAAAACATTGATAAACACAATAGAAATCAGCGATTTCTCCTGCTCGGGGCCCTGCTGGGAAGCCTCTTGGGAGGCCTCTTGGGGCATTTTGGCCGCCTCTGGGGCCGTCTTGGCCCAATCTTCGGCGTCTCGGACACATCTTGGGGCGTCCCGGAGCCTTCTGGGGCCGTCTTGGGGGCCTCTGGAGGCCCTCTTGGCGCGTCTTGGGCCCATCTTGGGGCGTCCCGGGGCCCTCTGGGCCGTCTTGGGGGCCTCTTGGGGCCCTCTTGGCGTGTCTTGGGCCTGCTACGCTTTTTGACCAGAATCGCCCTTCTCGCACGCGCGGGTCCTGCATGTAGTATAACTAAGTGCTGACCCTGGACCCTGTCCACGGCAATCTTTCTGAAATGGTTCTCGCAGGAGCGGCGGAGGGGCGGGGGAAGGGGGTGGGGGGGGAAAAGGGGGGAGGAGGGGAGGGGAGTGGGGGGATGGGGGAGGAGGGGGGGGGAGACAGCGGGTGTAGGGGGTAGAAGGGGAGGGAGGGAGAGAGAGGTGGGGAAGGAGTTAGAGGGGGAGAGAGGAGGGGAAGAGAAGGGGGGGGGGGGGAGAGGATGCTGCCGAAGTGCGATTTCGGCATGGCGGCAGCGTCACCCTCCTCTTCCTGCTCCTCCCCCCCCGCCTCGACGTTTTTGCATGTTCGGCGGTCCACGGGACATCCTACTGCAGGGCCTGGGCGAGCTCGGATTGTAGCCTTGAAGGTCGACGCGCGCATGTGACCAGAACCACCGACTCCAGAATGGAGCACAAGGCAGCGATAAGCCGTAATGAGGTTCTGTGTGCGACATGTGTTGCGAATGGTGCTTTGCTGTTGCTGATGCTCGCTGCTGCTGCTGCTTACCGCTTACTGCTGGATCTTCCTCCTCCTCCTCCTCCTCCTCATCTTCCTTCTCCCCTCTGTCGCTCGATCGGACTGTTCAAAACGGCTCTGTGGGGCCTTCTATCCGCTGCTCGCCTCTCGTCCGCTCCGAAGCAACGCGGAAGCCACCGAGGGACTCCTGGCGGCCGTTTGGGGGCCTCTTGGGGCTTCTTTTCGGCTTCCCAGGGGCTTCTGGCAGCCATTTTGGGCCGTGTAGGGTGCATCTGAGGTCGTTTTGGGGCCGTTTGGAGGCGTCTTGGCTGCCTCTTGGGCTGTCTGGGAGCCGTTTGGGGCCGTCTTAGGTCGCTCTTGGGCCGTCCTGGGGCAGTCCCGGGCCGTCTGGGGACGGGACGCTTTGAGGGCTGTTCTGGGTGTCTCTTGGGCCGTCTTGGTCGCCTGTTGGGACGTCGTGGAACCATCTTGCGCAATCTTGGGGTCCTCTTGTGGGCCTGTTGTACCGTCGTGGAGCGATCTGACTGGGTCCTTGAGCTGTCTTGGGCCGTTCTTGGCCGAGTATGGCGAGAGCGTGAACATGCTTCAAAACCGATCGGATATCTGTGATTTTGGCCGCCGGGGGCCGTCAGCGAGGGGCCGCTTTCGATTCCACCTAGGCCTGTTTCCGGACCCTCTCGGGCCACCCTTGGGCTCGCTGGGAGTCCTCTGGGGCCGTCGGGGTGGCTTCTGGAGCGTTCCGAGCCGTCTTGGGGCCGTCGGGGCGCCCGAGGGAGGGAGGGGAGGGAGGGAGGGAGGCGTCTCTGGCTGGGGCCTTCGGAGCGCCGTCATGAGCGGCTCGGAGCCGCCGTGAGCCACTCGATTCACGGATCCTTCCTGCACGCACACGTCCCTGCATTGTACGAGGGAATGACGTCGGGCTCCAGCTTCGCCTCACACATCTCGCTCAGCAGCGCGAGCGCCCAGTGCCACTGGTCGCCTTTCTCGCACGCGCTGATCCCAGCGCTGTAGCTGACCAGTGTGCACCCGTGGAACAAATCCGCGGGTACCCTGGCAGCGGAACGCGGCGGGCGGGGCCATCTCTGGGCCATCTTCGGTCGTCTTGGTCGCCTCTTGCGCCGTCTCCGGGCGTTCCCTGAACTCTCTTGCAGCTCTCTTGGGCCGTCTTGCAGCCTTGCAGGAAGTTCTGGGAGCACCTGGAGGACCTCGAAAATTGCACACAGGGGAGCTCGAAAGGGCCCGAAGACGGCCCTCAGGAAGCCCCCGACGGATGCTACAACAGGCGGGTGCGTTGTGCCATCCATTAGGGGGACTCTTCGGGCTCTCTGGGAGCGCTCTTGGGGCCGTCTTGGTATGCACCTGGGGCTCTAGTGGGCCAACTCTTGGCCATCTTGGGTCGTCTCTCGCGCCGTCTCAAGCTGTATTGGGACTCTCTTGCGCCGTATTGGGCCGTCCGGGCTCGCACGAGCCGCATAAACCTGCACCGGGAGGTCCTGCTGGGAGTGCTCTTGGAGCGCTCTGGGGGCCTTTTGGAAGGCTTTTCGACCGCTTGGAGGCCGTCTTGAGCTATCCTGGGACTCTCCGAAGCCGTCTGGACGCCATCTTGGGCCATCCTGAGACCATCCTCGACAGGATTGGGGGCATCTTCGGCGAACTTGGAAGCTTCCGGGACTCTCTTTGGCCGTCTGGGGCGAGTCCTACTGGCGGCTTTGCAACGAATGGCACCTTCCACACGCTGCTCCAGGTATTCTGGAATATATGGCGTCGGGCTCCAGTTTCACCTCCCACATCTGGCTCAGCAGATCCAGCGCCCGCTGCCACTGCTCGTCCTTTTCGCACGCGCTGATCCCAGCGTTGTAGCTGACTAGGGCTGACCCGTGGACTCCGTCCACGACATCTTTCTGGAATGGTTCTCGGATGAACGGCGCAGATGGTACCGAAAATCTACAAACACGGCGGCGGCTCGGGCGGCGGCAGCGAGACCGCGCCTTCGTGTCCGAGCTCTTGCAGCGCTGCAGCAGCTTGGTCCAGCGCATTGCTCGTTCACCCCCCTCCTATTGAGGACAGTTTCGAAGTCTCTCGGGGATGTGCGTCGAAGTCGAAGCCCATCTGAGGCGTCTCAGGAGCGCTCGGGGAAGGGCTCGGGAGGCCATCGGGGAAAGCCACCGAAAGCGCGGGGGAGGCTCGCAAGGATCTACAGGGAGGGCCCAAGAGAGCTTCAAGAAAATTTGAAATCCAGTGAACTCTTAAGAGAAACCGCTGTTGGGTCGGCCATCACCTCCGGGCGCGCCTTGATGGTGCGATCCAGTCGCATCACCGTCAACGGGAGGGTTTGTTCGCCATGTCACATTCTGTTCGCCCAGTGGGTCTGTGGAGGCCTTCGGGCGAACAGAACGGGACAGGGCAAGGAATGGGGAAGACATGTCCGAATCTCCTGGGCCCCCCAGATGCTCGTCCGAAGAATGCGGAGAGGTCCCAGGGTCATATCAATTGGCTGCTGTCCCAGGGGTCCGGTCTGCTTGGCCCGAAGAGTTTGCCAAGGCCCCTGGGGGACCAGAATGGCACAGCATATCGGGCAAAGGGGGGCGGTAGCTGGCCTGTCAGACCCGGCGTTCGTCTTCTGCCCAAGCGGCGCGGGGCCCACGGGCCCCTGGGTTGGCGTCCCGCTGGGATTCCTCTTGTTCGCCCACAGGGTTGGAGGAGGCCTCCAGGCGAACAGAATGGGGCAGGACAATGAATGTGGGAGACTTGTCGCAAGCTCCCAGCCCCCCCAAATGTGCGCCCGAAGGGTGTGGGGCCCCGTTGGCTCCCTCAAAGGGCCGTCTTGGAGCCGTCTAGGCCCGTCTTGAGGGCGCCGTTTGCCCTGATGGGGCCGTCTTGGTTCGTCGTTGGCCCCTCATGGGCGCGTCCGAAGGCCGTCCTGGGCCCATCGGGGTCCTCGTGGGGCTGTCTTGGAGCCGTCTGGGACCGTGAGGAGGCCGCCTTGGAGTCGTCTTGGGCCCCTCCTGTGCGCCTCCTTGGGCCGTCCTGGGCCCAGCAGGGGCCGTGTTGGCACCCTCTTGGGGCTGTCTTGGAGCCGTCTTGAGCCGTCGCAGCGCGCCTTGGGTTGTGCTGGGTCCGTCTTGGCCCGTCTTTGGGCCTTCCTGGGCGGTTCCTCGGACCCTCCTGGGACTTTCTGGGGCCTCTTGGTGCATCGGACCGCCGAAACGGCGGGAAACGCAAAGGGTGTAACAGTAAACAATGGAAAATTAACGATTTTTGCCAGCTGGGACTCTCTTGCCATCTTGGCCCGTCTTGAGGCCCCGAACGGGCGCGTCCTTGGGCCGTCCTGGGCGCACCCTCATGGGACCGTCTTGGAATCGTCTTGGGCCGTCTTGAGCGCGCCTTGGGCCGTCCTGGGCCGGTTTGGGGCCGTGTTGGCACCCTCGCGGCGAGGAAGCTCGGAGGTGGGCTCGAGGCCTCTTCGGGGCCATTTTGGAAGCTGTTGGGGCCTCTGTAGGGGCCTCGTTTGGGCTCCTTGGGAGCCTCCTGGGGCCTCTTCGGGGGATTCTTGGCGGCCCCTTGGAGCCTCTTGGGGGCCTGTTTGGGCCTCCTGGCGCCCTCTTGGGGCAGAAGGCTCGGATTTTCGGTCCGTGGTCCCCCTCTTGGCCCCCTCTTGGGCCTGTCTTCGGGCCCTCGTGGGCCGTCTTGAGCGTCTCTTGGGTCGTCTTGGGGCCCTCTTGGGCTGTCTTGGGGCGCTCTTGGAAACCTCTTGGGCCCTTCTGGGGCGCTCTTGGAGGCCTCTTGGGCCGTCTTCGAGCGTCGGAAAGCGGAAAAGGCGAGAAGGCCCAAATCCTTCCAAAACCGTCGTAAAGCAGACGATTTTGAGGCCCAAAACCGTCTAAAACCTCCTGAGGCGGTCCCCTCGTCCGCCCCCCTCGCTTCGAAGCAGTTTTTACCTAACAGCGTAGACTGATAGGTTTCTAGTTGACGCAAAAGAGCTCACAGATCACTCCACAGGGGGGTCCGGGCAGGCGTTGGGAGTTGCCGGCCGGGCCTGTGCCGGGCTCGTTTTTCACCAACAGTCGCACACTTCGTGCTCGTCGACCTCTCAGAACCCCACTCCCAGGCCACATTCTGAATAACCGGATGCAACAGTCACACACTTGGTGCTCTTCGACTTCCCAGAACGCCACTCCCGGGCCACATTTTGGATGCCCGGAGCCAACTGTAGGCCACTTCGTGCTCTTCTATTTCCCAGAACTCCATTCCCGGGCCACATTTTGAATGCCCGGAGCCAACTGTAGGCCACTTCGTGCTCTTCGAGTTCCCAGAACTCCATTCCCGGGCCACATTTTGAATGCCCGGAGCCAACTGTAGGCCACTTCGTGCTCTTCGAGTTCCCAGAACTCCATTCACGGGCCACATTTTGAATTGCCCGTAGCCAACTGTAGGGCAAAATTCGTGCCCTTCGACCTTCCCAGAACTCCCATTCCTGGGCCACATTTTCAGCAGGGCAAGAGCAACGAACGAGGAGGAGGAGAGGCAAGGACCAGGAGGACGAGCGAGCAGGAGCAGGACGAGGAGCAGGGGAGCAGGAGAGAGAAGGGAGAAGACGAGCAGGAGGAGGAGGAGGGACGAGCAGGAGGAGGAGGACGACAGGAGGTGGAGGACGACCAAGGGAGAGGAGGCATGAGGAGGAGGCAGGAGGAGGAGGAGGAGGATGAGGAGGAGGAGGAGGAGGGGGAGCGGGGCGGGTAAGTACCAGGAGGAGGAGGAGGAGGAGGAGGAAGGAGGAGGAGAGGAAGAGGAGGAGGAGGAGGAGGCGGAGGACTGAGGAGGAGGAGGAGGGGGGGGGAGAGTACAGGAGGAGGAGAAACGAGGACACCAGGAGGAGGAGGAGGAGGAGGAACGAGGAGGCGGAGGAGGAGGAGGAGGAGGAGGAGGAGGAGGAGAGAACACCAGGAGGAGGAGGACGAGCAAGACGAGGAGGACGAGAACGAGGACGACCAGGAAGAGGAGGAGGAGGAGGAGGAGGAGGAGGAGGGGAGGGGGAGGACTACCAGGAGGAGGAGGAGGAGGAGGAGGAGGAGGAGGAGGAGGAAGAGGAGGAGGAGGACGAGGAGGAGGAGGAGGAGGAGGAGGACGAGGAGGAGGAGGGGGGGGGAGAGCACCAGGAGGAGGAGAACGAGGACCACCAGGAGGAGGAGGAGGAGGAGGAGGAGGAGGCTGAGGCAGAGGCAGGGTGAGGCTGAGGCAGGCTGATGCTGAGGCAGGCTGAGGCTGAGGCTGAGGCTGATGCAGGCTGAGGCTGAGGCAGGCTGAGGCTGAGGCCGAGGCTGAAGGCAGACTGAGGCTGAGGCTGAGGCAGGCTGAGGCTGAGGCTGAGGCAGGCTGAGGCTGAGGCTGTGACTGCGAATGCCGTTGCCGCTGCGACTGTCATCGCGAATGCGACTACGACTGCGAGAACAGCAGAATTCGACAACTGGATTTTCATCTGAATCTTAAGGGGAATGCTTTCAGATATGCTTCTACACATCGCTGTTAGGTTGCTTTGCCGGGATAATTAAGCCCCGTGGCACCCCTTGGGGATCTCTTTTGGGCTCCTGGGGGCCTCTTGGGCCTCTCTGGGCCAGTCTATCGCGCCCCTTGTGCTGTCTTGGGGCCCCCTAGGGCCTTTTTGGGCGGTCCTCGGGACGTCTTGGAGCCATCTTGGGCCGCTCTTCGGGCCATCTTGGGGTCCCGGTGGCCTGTCTTGGGCGCCTCTGGGGCCGTCCTGGGGCCGCCTTGGACCGTCTTGGAGCTCTCTTGGACCGTCTTGGGGTCCTCTTGGGAACCTCCTTCCAAAACCGTCGTAAAGCGGACGATTTTGAGGCCCAAAACCGTCCAAAATCTCCTGAGGCGGTCCCCTCGTCCGCCCCCCTCGCTTCGAAGCAGTTTTTAAGCCCCGTGGCACCTCTTGGGGATCTCTTTTAGGCTCCTGGGGGCCTCTTGGGCCTCTCTGGGCCCGTCTATTGCGCCCCTTGGGCTGTTTTGGGGCCCCCTAGGGCCTTCTTGGGCGGTCCTCGGGCCGTCTTGGAGCCATCTTGGGCCGCTCTTCGGCCGCCGGGCCATCTTGGGGTCCCGGTGGCCTGTCTTGGGCGCCTCTGGGGCCGTCCTGGGGCCGCCTTGGACCGTCTTGGGGCTCTCTTGGACCGTCTTGGGGTCCTCTTGGGGACCTCTTCGACCGTCTTGGAGCGGTCTTGGATGCCTCTGGGAGGGTTTCGGAGCGTCGGGAAGCCGAAAAAGCGAGGAAGCAAAAAACTTAGGGAAAACAAATGGAAATCAACGATTTTGGCCTCTCGGGCCTCTCCTGGGATACCTCTTGGGAGGCCTATTGGGCCGTCTTGGGAAGCTCTTGGGCCGTCTTGGGCCAATCTTGGGCGTCTTGGCCGGATCATTGCGCGTCTCGGGGCCCTCTTGGGCCGCCTTCGGGGCATCTTGAGCGGCTCGGAGCCGTCTTTGGGCCGTCGGGGCGGCCTCCGTAACGTCTCGGAGCCATTTCTAGTCATTTGGCTGGATTTCCTTCCGGCACGCGGTTCCTCCGGCCATATAGTATAAACTAGGGCTGACCCGTGGACTACGTCCACTTGCGGGGTGAAGGGGTGTTGCTGCAAGGCAGGATGACTGGCGTCATGTTCGCCTGCCACACATCGCTGAGCGAGGAGACGGAGGAACGTCTGGACGCCCCACCTGGGGCGCTCAAGGGCTCCCTTGGGATCGGGTCAGGCTTTGTCGGTGCGTTGGGTCCGACCTTCCCGGGGCGTTTTGGGGCCGTCTGGGGGCCCTCCGAGGGGCCCCAAGATCACCAACACGCCACCAAGATGACTCCATAATGGCCGCCGGCCCAGCATCGGCGGGACCGATTCTGGGCCACCGCGCCGCCGACCCAGAATCCCGCCCGACGCGCCCTTGGCGACCGCGCGCGTTTCCGGGGTCGGCCGAGGCGATTCTGGGCCACCAAAAAAGCGAAACCCGGCATGGCCGCAAGAGGCCGCGGACAGGGCTCCAGACCGACAAAAAGGGCGAGGGATTTTGAATCCAAATCCAGCAGGGAGCGCCAAACAAGCATCAGAGGCCCATGGTGCGCTGGAAGCCGTTTTGGGACTGTCTGTGGCCGTCTTAGGCCTTCTTTGGCTGCTGTTGGTGCTGTCTTCGGAGCCTCTTGGGCCGTGTTGAGGCGGTTTGTCTTGGACGTCTCTGGAGCAGTCTGGGCACCGTCTGGGGGTCGTCGAAAGCCGTCCTGGGCCGCTCTTGAAGCTGTCTTGGGTGCCCCGTGGGCCGCCAGGGGCGCCTCAGGAACCGTTCTAACCCTGTGCGGGCGATAGAGATCACCTGGGGAGAATAAAACTCTGGGGTCTGGCGAGGATAATAATTGATTTTCCAAGGCAATGTAAGTGATGATGGTGATGATGATGATGACGATGCTGATGCTGATGCTGATGCTGATGCTGATGATGATGCTGATGATGATGATGACGATGATGATGATGATTATGATGATGAGGATGACAATGATCAAGATGATGGTGATCCTGGGCGCTCGGCACAAGACTGACTCGACAAATCTCGATGCTCGTGGCTATACAACTTGCCAGCAGGCGCTCGGCACAAAACGAAGCTGATGTGGTGAGACCACCATGGCCATGCTCAGCGTTTTTGATGCTGGTGCTAGTCAACATGAGATGATAACAACTTCGATTCGCAACTTCCCCCGTGGATTATAAAGTTCGGCCTCCGCGCCCCTCTCCATAATTAAATCCGGTTGAAAAAGGGTACAATGAAAATAAAGGGGCTTAATGGGGTGTACATTATGATCGCCCGCACTCGGTTAGGGCCATCTTGGGCCTCTGTATGGCCGTCTTGGGCGCCATGTAGAGGGCAAGCTTAGGAACTGCCAAAATTTACGTGTTCCCGCGGATGGGACGATTTTTCGGTGTTCGGGTTCTCTTGGGGCTCGTCGAGGAGCACTTGGAGCGTTTTGGAAGCCCCTTGGGCCGCCCGCAGGCCATCTGAGGCGTTCTCGGGGCCGTCTGGAGGTTGCCTGGGTCCGCCTTGGGCGTCGCTGGAGCAGTCTGGGCACCGTCTGGCGGTCGTCTTGGGCCGTCCTGAGCCGCTCTTGAGGCTGTCTTGGGTACCCCGTGGGCCACCAGGGATGCCTCAGGAGCCGTCCTGGGGTCGTCGTGGGCGGTCTCGGGGCCCTCATGGGGGCATCTTACGGCGATCTTGGGGGTCTCTATGGCCGTGGTGGACGCGTCGGAAACGAAAAGCACGATAATGCCCCCCCAAATGCGCTTTTCCCGCAGGGAATGAAATGATTTGGGCCTCCTGGGGCCTGGGAGGTCCTCCAGGGCCGTCTTGGGGGAGCCTCCTCGCCTGCCTTGGGAGCTTCTGGGGCCGTCGAGGCGGCATCTTGAGCGGCTCGGAACCGTCTGTGGGCCGTCTTGGGCGCGTATTGGGGCCCTCTTGGCCCGTGTGGAGGCTTCCCTGGGCGGCCTGGAGCGTCCTGGGGCCAACCCGAGGGCGGCGCGGCGCGAATGGCCAAGACGGTCCAAAATTGCTCTCAGAGGGCCTCCGAAGGCCACTATCGTTTACTGTAGGCTCGCTCTGGGCGCCAAAGGGCCCTGCGGAGCATTGTTCCAAGAAAAAATGCTTGCAGACTCCTTTGGGGGCCACTTGACATGGCATGGTGACGTTTTTGTGTCGTGACGGCTCCGGTGGGTTGCGCGCGCGGCTGACAGCTGGGCCGTTTGAGCCCGCGAGGCCGTGGAAGGTGAAGGCTCCGAGGTGGTGGCATGATGCCTGGGGGAGAGCGTGGATTCGTCGGGGCGCCCGAGCGGTGCAAATGGCCAAGATGGCTCAAGATGGCGTTCAGAGCGGTGAGAACGGCCAACGCGGCCCAATATGTCGGGGGTCCGAGCGGCGCGAATGGCCAAGACGGTCCAAGGTGGCTCTGAGAGGGCCTCCGAGGGCCACTATCGAATACTGTAGGCTCGCTCTGGGCGCCCAAGGGCCCCGCGGAGTTTTATCTGGAGTTGTCGTTGAAGGCCCCCTGCTGGGAGGGCCGCTTCAGCGGAGCGCCCGGGTTCCGCCGAGGTCGGCACATGCAATTTTACGTTGGTTCGGGGGCGATGCGCAAGGACGCACGGGGGGAATGATCGGGTTTTCGTAGATGCCCGCCAGGGTCCCCGCGGGAGTGTCCTGGCTAAGATGCGCGATGATGGTGAAGATGATGATTTCGAAAACGAAGATGACGGAGATGATGACGATGATGATGATGGTGATGACGATGGCGGTGATGAGGATGAGGATGGTGAGCGCGCAGAGGCCGAGCATAACATATAAAATGCTGGAACCTCAGAGGTCGACGATGCCAACACTGACGACGTAACGTCGACGACGACGACGGCGGTGGCGGCTGTGGTGGCGGTGGCGGCGGCGACGACGCGGTAGCGGCAGGGGGGGCGGCGGCGGCGGCCGCGGAGGTGGTGGCGGCGACGGCGGTGACGCGCCTCCGCGTCCGAGCTGTCGAAGCGCTCGAGCACCTCGGCCTCTCGGGGGTCATCAAATTCGGGCCTCTTGGGAGCTGTCTGGGGGCCTCTCGGGGATCATTGTTGGCCTCCTGGGGGGCTCTTGGGGCCCTCTTTGCGCGTCTTGGGCCCATCTTGGGGCGTCCCGGGGCCCTCTGGGGCCGTCTTGGGGCGTCTTGGGACCGTCTGGACGCCCTCTTGGCCCGTCTTGAAGCCCTCTTGCGGGCCTCGTCGGTGGTCTTGGAGCGGTCTTGGGGACCTCTTGGGCCGTCTTGGAGCGCAGAGAGGGCGAAAAGGGGAGAATGCGGAAAACATCGCAAAACACAATGGAAATCGACGATTTCTCCCGCTCGGGGCCCTGCTGGGAAGCCTCTTGGGGCATTTTGGCCGCCTCTGGGGCCGTCTTGGCCCAATCTTCGGCGTCTTGGGCCCATCTTGGGGCGTCCCGGAGCCCTCTGGGGCCGTCTTGGGAGCCTCTTGGGGCCGTCTTGGCGCGTCTTGGGCCTATCTTGGGGCGTCCCGGGGCCCTCTGGGGCCGTCTTGGGGGGCCGTCTTGGGCTGTCTTGGGGCGTCTTGGGACCGTCTGGGGGCCCTCTTGGCCCGTCTTGAGGCCCTCTTGCGGGCCTCGTCGGTGGTTTTGGAGCGGTCTTGGGGACCTCTTGGGCCGTCTTGGATCGCAGAGAAGGCGAAAAGGGGAGAATGCGGAAAACATCGCAAAACACAATGGAAATCTACGATTTCTCCCGCTCGGGGCCCTGCTGGGAAGCCTCTTGAGAGGCCTCTTGGGGCATTTTGGCCGCCTCTGGGGCCGTCTTGGCCCAATCTTCGGCGTCTGGGGGGCGGACCATATTGGGGCGTCCGGGAGCCTGCTGGGGCTTGTGTTGTTTTGGGGCCTCTGGAGGCCCTCTTGGCGCGTCTTGGGCCCATCTTGGGGCGTCCCGGGGCCCTCTGGGGCCGTCTTGGGGGCCTCTTGGGGCCCTCTTGGCGTGTCTTGGGCCTGCTACGCTTTTTGACCAGAATCGCCCTTCTCGCACGCGCGGGTCCCTGAATTGGGCTCCAGCTGCACCCCCCACATCCCGGTAAGCAGCGCCAGCGCCTGCTGCCACTGCCGGCCCATCCCGCACGCGCTGATCCCAGCGCTGCAGCTGATGACGTCGGGCTCCAGCTTCGCCTTCCACATTCCACTGAGCACCGACAACGCGTGTTGCCATTGCCCGCCTTTTCTGCATGCGCTGACAGTCGCAACGTAGTGGCTTGGGACGAGTTGCACACCCAATTGGATTCCTTCGCGGAGCATCCGCAGTGCGGCGCTCCATTGTTTTGTCAGGCCGCAGTTCTTGATCGACGCTTCGAGGGACATAACGACTTCTTGAGACTATCCAGAACGACATGGCACCTGAGCTTGAGCCAACATGTCTTGAGCTTCTGGGGCCTTCTGGGGCCGTCTTGGGGGCCTCTTGGGGCCGTCTTGGCGCGTCTTGGGCCCATCTTGGGGAGTCCGGGGGCCCTCTGGGGCCGTCTTGGGGGCCTCTTGGGGCCCTCTTGGCGTGTCTTGGGCGTGCTACGCCATTTGACCAGAATCGCCCTTCTCGCACGCGCGGGGCCCTGCATTGTAGTATAGATGACGTCAGGCTCCGGCTTCGCCTCCCGCATCTCACTCAGCAGCGCCAGCGCCCAATGCCACTGCTCGCTCTTCTCGCGCGCGCTGATCCCAGCGTTGTAGCTGACTAGGGCTGACCCGTGGACTCCGTCCACGACATACATGTTTCTGGAATGGTTCTCGGAGGAACGGCACAGATTGCACCGAAAATCTACAAACACGGCAGACCTCTTTGGGGGCCACTTGACATGGCATGGTGACGTTTTCGTGTCGTGACGGCTCCGGTGGGTTGCATGCGCGGCTGACAGCTGGGCCGTTTGAGCCCGCGAGGCTCTGGAAGGCGAAGGCTCCGAGGTGATGGCAAGATGCCTGCAGGAGAGCGTGGAATCGACGGGGCGCCCGAACGGTGAGAATGGCCAAGATGGCTCAAGATGGCGTTCAGAGCGGTGAGAGCGGCCAACGCGGCCCAAGATGTCGGGGGTCCGAGCGGCGCGAATGGCCAAGACGGTCCAAGGTGGCTCTAAGAGGGCCTCCGAGGGCCACTATCGCATACTGTAGGCTCGCTCTGGGCGCCAAAAGGCCCTGCGGAGCATTTTTCGAAGAAAAAGTGCTTGGTGGGTTTCGTGCGCGGCTGCTGGCCCAGTGACGACGACGGCGACGACGAAGACGACGACGACCCCACGGACCGAAATCCAGTAGAAGAGTCTTTGCAAACCATTGCGTTCTCCGATGTCTTCTGCATTGTCGCTTTTGGAAAGGTTTCCCCGTGCGTCCCTGGAAATGTGGGAAACCCAATTTATCTGGAGTTGACGTTGAAGGCCCCCTGCTGGGAGGGCAGAGCGTCCGGGTTCCGCCGAGGTTGGCATATGCAATTGTACGTTGGTTTTGGGGCGATTTGCAAGGACACACGGGGGATCGGCGTCTTGGGCCCATCTTGGGGGCCTCTTGGCGCGTCTTGGGCCCATCTTGGGGCGTCCCGGGGCCCTCTGGGGCCGTTTTGGGCTGTCTTGGGGCGTCTTGGGACCGTCTGGGGGCCCTCTTGGCCCGTCTTGAGGCCCTCTTGCGGGCCTCATCGGTGGTCTTGGAGCGGTCTTGGGGACCTCTTGGGCCGTCTTGGAGCGCAGGGACGGTGAAAAGGGGAGAATGCGAAAAACATAGAACAACACTCTGGAAATCGACGAGGAAGCCTCTGGGGAGGCCTCTTGGGGCATTTTGGCCGCCTCTGGGGCCGTCTTGGCCCCATCTTCGGCGTCTTGGACCCATCTTGGAACATCCCGGAGCCCTCTGGGGCCGTCTTGGGGGCCTCTTGGGGCCCGTCTTGGGCCTATCTTGGGGCGTCCCGGGGCCCTCTGGGGCCGTCTTGGGGGGCCGTCTTGGGCTGTCTTGGGGCGTCTTGGGACCGTCTGGGGGCCCTCTTGGCCCGTCTTGAGGCCCTCTTGCGGTCCTCGTCGGTGGTCTTGGAGCGGTCTTGGGGACCTCTTGGGCCGTCTTGGAGCGCAGGGACGGCGAAAAGGGAAGAATGCGAAAAACATCGAAAACACACAACAGAAATCGGCGATTTCTCCCACTCGGGGCCCTGCTGGGAAGCCTCTGGGGAGGCCTCTTGGGGCATTTTGGCCGCCTCTGGGGCCGTCTTGGCCCAATCTTCGGCGTCTCGGGCCCATCTTGGGGCGTCCCGGAGCCCTCTGGGGCCGTCTTGGCGGCCTCTTGGGGCCCTCTTGGCGCGTCTTGGGCCTATCTTGGGGCGTCCCGGGGCCCTCTGGGGCCGTCTTGGGGGGCCGTCTTGGGCTGTCTTGGGGCGTCTTGGGACCGTCTGGGGGCCCTCTTGGCCCGTCTTGAAGCCCTCTTGCGGGCCTCGTCGGTGGTCTTCCAGCGGTCTTGGGGGCCTCTTGGGCCGTCTTGGAGCGCAGGGACGGCGAAAAGGGGAGAATGCGAAAAACATTGAAAAACACAATGGAAATCGACGATTTCTCCCGCTCGGGGCCCTGCTGGGAAGCCTCTTGGGAGGCCTCTTGGGGCATTTTGGCCGCCTCTGGGGCCGTCTTGGCCCAATCTTCGGCGTCTTGGGCCCATCTTGGGGCGTCCCGGAGCCCTTCTGGGGCCGTGGGCCTCTGGAGGCCCTCTTGGCGCGTCTTGGGCCCATCTTGGGGCGTCCCCAGGGCCCTCTGGGGCCGTCTTGGGCTGTCTTGGGGCGTCTTGGGACCGTCTGGGGGCCCTCTTGGCCGTCTTGAAGCCCTCTGCGGGCCTCTCGTGGTTTTGGAGCGGTCTTGGGACCTCTTGGGCCGTCTTGGAGCGCAGGGACGGCGAAAGGGGAGAATGCGAAAAAAATTGAAAAACACAATGGAAATCGACAATTGCTCCCGCTCGGGGCCTCGGGGAAGCCTCTTGGAGGCCTCTTGGGGAATTTTGGCCGCCTCTGGGGCCGTCTTGGCCCAATCTTCGGCGTCTTGGGCCCATCTTGGGGCGTCCCGGAGCCCTCTGGGGCCGTCTTGGGGGCCTCTTGGGGCCCTCTTGGCGCGTCTTGGGCCCATCTTGGGGCGTCCCGGGCCCTCTGGGGCCGTCTTGGGGGGCCGTCTTGGGCTGTCTTGGGGCGTCTTGGGACCGTCTGGGGGCCCTCTTGGCCCGTCTTGAGGCCCTCTTGCGGGCCTCGTCGGTGGTCTTCCAGCGGTCTTGGGGACCTCTTGGGCCGTCTTGGAGCGCAGGGACGGCGAAAAGGGGAGAATGCGAAAAAATTGAAAAACACACAACAGAAATCGACAATTGCTCCCGCTCGGGGCCCTGCGGGGAAGCCTCTTGGGAGGCCTCTTAGGGCATTTTGACCGCCTCTGGGGCCGTCTTGGCCCAATCTTCGGCGTCTTCGGCCCATCTTGGGGCGTCCCGGAGCCCTCTGGGGCCGTCTTGGGGGGCCTCTTGGAGCCCTCTTGGCGCGTCTTGGGCCCATCTTGGGGCGTCCCGGGGCCCTCTGGGGCCGTCTTGGGGGGCCGTCTTGGGCTGTCTTGGGGCGTCTTGGGACCGTCTGGGGGCCCTATTGGCCTGTCTTCAGGCCCTCTTGCGGGCCTCGTCGGTGGTCTTCCAGCGGTCTTGGGGACCTCTTGGGCCGTCTTGGAGCGCAGGGACGGCGAAAAGGGGAGAATGCGAAAAACATCGAAAAACACAACAGAAATCGACGATTGCTCCCGCTCGGGGCCCTGCTGGGAAGCCTCTTGGGAGGCCTCTTGGGGCATTTTGGCCGCCTCTGGGGCCGTCGTGGCCCAATCTTCGGCGTCTCGGGCCCATCTTGGGGCGTCCCAGGGCCCTCTGGGGCCGTCTTGGGGGCCTCTTGGGGCCCTCTTGGCGCGTCTTGGGCTTATCTTGGAGCGTCCCAGGGCCCTCTGGGGCCGTCTTGGGGGGCCGTCTTGGGCTATCTTGGGGCGTCTTGGGACCGTCTGGGGGCCCTCTTGGCCCGTCTTGAGGCCCTCTTGCGGGCCTCGTCGGTGGTCTTCCAGCGGTCTTGGGGGCCTCTTGGGCCGTCTTGGAGCGCAGGGACGGCGAAAAGGGGAGAATGCGAAAAGCATCGGAAAACATAACAGAAATCAACGATTTCTCCCACTCGGGGCCCTGCTGGGAAGCCTCTGGGGAGGCCTCTTGTGACATTTTGGCCGCCTCTGGGGCCGTCGTGGCCCAATCTTCGGCGTCTCGGGCCCATCTTGGGGCGTCCCGGAGCCTTCTGGGGCCGTTTTGGGGGCCTCTGGAGGCCCTCTTGGCGCGTCTTGGGCCCATCTTGGGGCGTCCCGGGGCCCTCTGGGGCCGTCTTGGGGGCCTCTTGGGGCCCTCTTGGCGTGTCTTGGGCCTGCTACGCTTTTTGACCAGAATCGCCCTTCTCGCACGCGCGGGTCCCTGCATTGTAGTATAGACTAGGGCTGACCTGTGGACTACCGTCCACGATTGCTAATGTATTGGGAGGGCGCATGCTGCTGCGTAGTGCTTCAGGGCGAGCTGGGTGCTCGATGATCCTGTCGGCGCCGAGAGCATCGTTTGCAGCAGCATTGGATATGGCAGCATCGGCAGTAACCCGAGAGGTGGGTGGAGCGACGTGACTGGCAAACGACGGCAGCCACTGTGCAGAGGGATCCGTGGGCAACGAGGAGGAGAAGGTCGAGGAAGGGAGTGTAACCTGTATGGAAAAACCATACCCCGCGCCTCCTGGAACACGCGCCGTGCGGGAGTAGTCCCAGGAAAAGCGTTCCGGGGCGTTGGCGGCTCGGTCTGAAAAAGGTTTTTCGGCTATCCCCTTCCAGCCCAAGATGGCCCCAAGAGAGCCCCAAGAAAGCTCCCAAAGGGCCCCAAGACTGTTCCAGAGGGCCCCAAGAGGGTCCCAAGTGAACCCCAAGCGCTCCAGACGCGGGGGCAAGTCGTCTAGAGCTCTCAGGGGGCCCTCAGCCCCCATAGGACCCCCCCAGGAGGACCCAAGACTGCCCCAAATGGGCCCCTAGAGGGTTAAAAAGGCCCAACAACTTGTCACGAAAAGGAGCCGTCTTCGTGACAGGTTGTAGGCCCTTCTTGGGGCCCCAAGATGGCCCCAAGAGGGCCCCAAGAAAGCTCCAAAGGAGCCCCAAGACGGTTCCAAGAGAGGGCGGAGTCCACCTGTGAGTAAAAAGCAATACCCCGCATCTCATGGGACACCTCTTCCTCAGGAGGGCTTGCCAAAACTTCGTCCAGGCCCCCCCGCGGCACCCAGGAGCGCTGATTTCTGAGGTCTCTCTCGCACGCCGAGTGTCCCAGGGAGGAGTGAGGTACGATTGGAGAGGTGTCCCAAGAGGTGTGGTGACCCGTGTGTGTGTGTGTGTGTGTGTGTGTGTGTGTGTGTGTGTGTGTGTGTGTGTGTGTGTGTGTGTGTGTGTGTGTGTGTGTGTGTGCGTGCGCGTGCGCGTGCGCGTGCGCGTGCGCGTGCGTGCGTGCGTGCGTGCGTGCGTGCGTGCGTGTGTGTGTGTGTGTGTGTGTGCGTGCGTGCGTGCGTGTGTGTGTGTGTGTGTGTTTTCCAATCCGACGGGGCTTTATTGTAATATGCAATTTCAGAGCACCCCTGGGGAGGAGCCTCGTTGGCACTTTGGGAGCTTCTTAAGCGAATGCGTCGTCCATCACCCACCACTCCTCCTCCGTGGTTATATTTTGCGTGTTGCTCTCCAGAGTAAGGCTGGAGAGGGGGATGGAATCGGATCGAAAAAACCACACACCACACCTCTTGGGACACGTGCCGTGTGAGAAGGGCCCCCGCAAAATCATCCCTAGCCGGTTTGCAGCTGGATCCGGAAGCACTTTTGCGAGCCCCTGCCGCGCGGAAAGGTGCCCCAAGAGGTGTGTGTAGCGCGTGGGATTTGTCAATCAGGCGGCACGTCCACGGAGTAACTATCTCCAGTGCACCCTGCGGGGAGGGGTTCTTGAAGGCGCCAGCGCAGGCGTCTGGGGCAGCTTCTGGGAGCTTGTCGTGAGCGTCTCTAGGGTTTTCTGGGGGGCCCGTGGCCCCAGGCACGGTATCTTGGGGCTCCCTGGAAGCTTTTCGAAGGCGTCTGGGAGGCCTCCGGATATCGTTGGAGCTCGTCTTGGGCCGTCTGCGGGGGCTTCCGGGGAGTCCGCCCGGGCCACGGTGGGCCGATTTTGGAAACCTTGGGTGCCGTGCTGTGCCAGACGGGGGGGTTGTTCCACAGTTGGCTTTCTGGGGAGGCTTCTCGCGGGCATCTCGGAGGCAGTTCCGAAGTTTTTGGGGGCCGTCTGGGGGCATCTTGGGGCCTCATTTGGGCCTCATTTGGGCCTCTTTTGGGCCTCTCGGGGGCCTTTTGGGGCGGAAGGCTGGGATTTTCGGTTGGAGGTCCCCCTCTTGGGCCGTCTCGGGCCCCCCCCTGGGCCGTCTTGGGCGCGTCTTGGGCCATCTTGGCGCCCTCTTGGGCCGTTTTGGGGGCCTCTTGGGAGCCTCTTGGGCGTCTTGGGGGCCTCTTGGACCGTCTTCAGCGCCATGAAAGCCGAGAAGCCGTGCGTGCTCAAAATGTACGTTTTCCTCCGGGAGATCTATGATTTTGGCCTGTTGGGGCCCTCCTGGGACGCCACTTGGGCGTCTCTTGGGCCGTCGTGGAGGCCTCTTGGGCCGTCTTGGGCTCTCTTGGGGCTCCTTGGAAGCCACCGTGGGCACTCTGGGGGCCCGGGTGGACCGTCCCCACGAGCAGAGCCGCCGAGGTGCCGCCCCCCAGGGCCTGGCGAGGGTGGCCCCAATGGCCCTCTCGCACGCGCAATGCCCGGTATTGTAGGTCAGATGACGTTGGGCTCGAGCTTTGCATCCAACAGCTCGCTCAGCAGGGCCAGGGCCCGCTGCCACTGCTCGTCTTGGCCCGTCTTGGGGCCTTCCTGGGCGGTTCCTCGGACCCTCCTGGGACTTTCTGGGGCCTCTTGGCGCATCGGACCGCCGAAACGGCGGGAAAAGCAAAGGGTGTAACAGTAAACAATGGAAAAATAACGATTTTTGCCAGCTGGGACTCTCTTGCCATCTTGGCCCGTCTTGAGGCCCCGAACGGGCGCGTCCTTGGGCCGTCCTGGGCGCACCCTCCTGGGACCGTCTTGGAATCGTCTTGGGCCGTCTTGAGCGCGCCTTGGGCCGTCCTGGGCCGGTCAGGGGCCGTGTTGGCACCCTCGCGGCGAGGAAGCTCGGAGGCGGGCTCGAGGCCTCTTCGGGGCCATTTTGGAAGCTGTTGGGGCCTCTGTAGGGGCCTCGTTTGGGCTGCTTGGGAGCCTCCTGGGGCCTCTTCGGGGGATTCTTGGCGGCCCCTTGGGGCCTCTTGGGGGCCTGTTTGGGCCTCCTGGCGCCCTCTTGGGGCGGAAGGCTCGGATTTTCGGTCCGTGGTCCCCCTCTTGGCCCCCTCTTGGGCCTGTCTTCGGGCCCTCGTGGGCCGTCTTGAGCGTCTCTTGGGTCGTCTGGGGGCCCTCTTGGGCTGTCTTGGGGCGCTCTTGGAAACCTCTTGGGCCGTTCTGGGGCGCTAGGCCCAAATCCTTCCAAAACCGTCGTAAAGCGGACGAGTTTGAGGCCCAAAACCGTCCAAAACCTCCTGAGGCGGTCCCCTCGTCCGCCCCCCTCGCTTCGAAGCAGTTTTTAAGCCCCGTGGCACCTCTTGGGGATCTCTTTTGGGCTCCTGGGGGCCTCTTGGGCCTCCACTGGATTCGCTGCCCTCGGTCGGCAATCGTCGATCCTACGACGACTCTCCCCAACGGAGAAACATCGAAGGCCCTCGGAGCGTCCAACATTGTTCTTTTGTGCCTTCGATATGCCGGTCGCCTCTCGTCCGCTCCCCCCCTCCTGGAAGCAATTCTGAGGCCACTTAGGGCTTCGTGGGGGCCGTTTGGGGATCTCTTGGGGCGTTTTTGCCTGCGATATGCCTGTCGCCTCTCGTCCGCTCCCCCGCTCCTGGAGGGAATTCTGAAGGCACTGAAGGCTTCGTGGGGGCCGTTTCGGAGCCTCTTCGGCCTTCGTTTGGGCCTCCCGGGGGGGCTCTTAGGGCCCTCTCGGGCCGTCTTGGGTGCCTCTTGGGCCGTCTTGGGGCCGTCTGAGACCCGCCTCGGCGCCTCTTGGGCTGTCGTGGGCCGTCTTGGGCCGCTCCTGGGGTCGTCTTGGGTGCCTCTTGGGCCGTCTTGGGCGCCTCCTGGGCCGTCCTGGGGCCGTCCTGGGGCGTCTTGGGACCGTCTGGGGGCCCTCCTGGCCCGTCTTGGGGCTCTCTTGGGGTCCTCTTCGGCCGTCTTGGAGCGGTCGGGGGGGCTTCTTGGGCCGTCTTGGAGCGTCGGGAAGCCGACGAGGCGAGGAGGCCGAAAACATAGAAAAACACAGTAGAAATCGACGATTTCTGTCGCTCGGGGCCCTCATGGGAGGCCTCTTGGGAGGCCTCTTCGGGCGTCTTGGACGCCTCTCGGGCCGCCTGGGGCGAATCTCGGGCGTCTTGGGCCCATCTTTAAGCGTGCCGGGGCTCTCCGGGGCCGTCTTGGGGGCTTCGGGGGGCCCTCTCGACATGTCCTGGGGCCTGCCTGGGCGGCCCGGGGCGGCCCGGGGCCAGCCCGGGGCGGTTTCGGTGCATTGGGGCCTGCGCCCTTCTGGCACGCACTGGGCCCTGCAATGTAGTAGAGACGACGTCGGGCTCCAGCTTCGTCTCCCGCATGTCGCTTAGTAGCGCCAGCGCCCGTTGCCACTGCTCGCCCTTCTCGCACGCGCTGATCCCAGCGCTGTAGCTGATGACGTCTGGCTCCAGCTCGCCTCCGACATCTCGTCGAGCAACACTGACGCCCGCCGGCGAAAAGGGGAGAATGCGAAAAACGTTGAAAAACATAATGGAAATCTACGATTTCTCCCGCTCGGGGCCCTGCTGGGAAGCCTCTTGAGAGGCCTCTTGGGGCATTTTGGCCGCCTCTGGGGCCGTCTTGGCCCAATCTTCGGCGTCTGGGGCCCATCTTGGGGCGTCCCGGAGCCTTCTGGGGCTGTGTTTTGGGGGCCTCTGGACGCCCTCTTGGCGCGTCTTGGGCCCATCTTGGGGCGTCCCGGGGCCCTCTGGGGCCGTCTTGGGGGCCTCTTGGGGCCCTCTTGGCGTGTCTTGGGCCTGCTACGCTTTTTGACCAGAATCGCCCTTCTCGCACGCGCGGGTCCCTGAATTGTAGTATAGATGACGTTGGGCTCCAGCTGCACCCCCCACATCCCGGTAAGCAGCGCCAGCGTCTGCTGCCACTGCCGGCCCATCCCGCACGCGCTGATCCCAGCGCTGCAGCTGATCCCAGCGCTGACTCCAGCTCCAGCTTCGCCTTCCACATTTCACTGAGCACCGACAACGCGTGTTGCCATTGCCCGCCTTTTCTGCATGCGCTGACAGTCGCAACGTAGTGGCTTGGGACGAGTTGCACACCCAATTGGATTCCTTCGCGGAGCATCCGCAGTGCGGCGCTCCATTGTTTTGTCAGGCCGCAGTTCTTGATCGACGCTTCGAGGGACATAACGACTTCTTGAGACTATCCAGAACGACATGGCACCTGAGCTTGAGCCAACATGTCTTGAGCTTGAGCCAAAATGGCTACGGAGGTGTCACTTCTCGACTTGTGCTTGCCATGCTTGCGCAAGGGCCATGCGCACGTTCGCTGTGCAGATCCAGTGGTAACGGGTGAACCCCGAAGGGCATCCGTCTCATCCGATCCTCTCCTGCCCATACACCACTCGAGCCACCACAGCCTTCCCAAACACATCCCTCACCTTCATCTCATCCCCAATAGCCTCCCCCGCTGTAACCTTATCCTCCTCCTGCTTCCCCACGAGCCAGACGACGGGCGCCTCCCTCTGCAGTTTGGGGCCCCCGTGCGCACAGCTCGATGCCGAGGGAATACACCCAGGACACGACCAAGTAGGACGCGAGCAGTCTGCGGACGACCTGGCTGGCAAACAGCAACTATATACAGACCTCACATTAGGGTGCCGCTGCCCGTCACTTACCCCTCGCTGAATGGAGCAATGGACAAGCAGGATGCAGTGCGGAACTTTTTTGTCAGATGGCGGGGTGACTCTGATGGGGGGAAACATTTTTCTGGGAGGGCGCTATACAAGCATACTTTCCTGGCGACGGCCTGGTGGTATCATCCTCGTCCGCCTTCTTTATTTCCTCCTTCCGTTTCTCCTCGAACTGCTTCTCCTTCCTCTCTCCCTCCCTCCTTCCCTCCCCCGTCTCTCCCCCGCCCTTCCACTCTCACCCATGACATCCCTTATTCCATTCTATCCATCCTTTCCTCCTCCCTCTTTCCATTGCCCTCGCCCGTATCTCAATCGCTCGCACGCTCACATCATCCGCCCTTACCTTTTCGCTTCTCCTCCTCTTCGTCATCATCATCCTCAGGCCCAACCTTTCCCCCTCGCTTACTCCCTCCCTCTCTCCCTCCCTCCCCAACCTTTCCCGCCATCCCTTCATAGAGCTAGAGCTTCCTCCCTCGCTCCCTCCCCCGCAGTCTCCCCTCGTCGCATGTTCCTCCCCCTCCATGCCTCGCTCGCCTCACAGATAATCCCCCTGACGTGGAAACCTTCGACCAGGCAGGGCCTCAGGAGAGCATGCAGGAGTCACCCAGGTCGCCGCGGGAGCGGCCCAAGACATCATCGCTCATCGACTGCCCCCGCAGTCGTCGTCGCAACCGCAGCCGCTGCAGCCGCTAAGCGGTCGCCATTGGTCGCCGTCGGTCGTCGCCATCACCGCTGTCGTCGTCGTCGTCGCCGTCGTCGTCTTCGTCGTCGCCGTCGCCGTCGCCGTCGCCGTCGCCGTCGTCGTCTTCGTCGTCGCCGTCGCCGTCGCCGTCGCCGTCGCCGTCGCCGTCGCCGTCGCCGTCGCCGTCGCCGTCGCCGTCGCCGTCGCCGTCGTCGTCGTCGTCGTCGTCGTCGTCGTCGTCGTCGTCGTCGTCGTCATCGTCTGTGGTCGTCGGTCGGTCGCGCGGAGGTTCGGAGAGGCCCCGAGCACGCATGTCCGCAGGGGGTGGCGCGGACTCCGGCGGGGCCGCGGGCGCCCACGTACCAAGCACCACAGCGAGCAGCGTGCCCCGGGCCGGCCTCGTCGAAGTTTCCCACCCCCTCATCCTCCCCCTCCCCCTCCCCCTGAGGTCTAGGCAGCTCAATTGACAGTGGCTATCCCCCCGCCTGGGCAGGCCCAAAACGACGAACTCACCGAAGATCTGGCCCTCCAGGACCTCCAACCGTGGAAATGCGAACTCAGGGACGGAGTGGAAGAATGCGGACTCCTCTTCTCGAGCAAGGAAGCGCTTCACAGCCACGTCACACGAAATCATCATGTTCATACTTTAGCGGCTCTACTACCTACGAACAACGAGTGTATCCATTGCTACAAGGTGTTTGAAAGCCGTGGGACCGCACGGAAGCATCTAGCCAGAAATATGATGAGAGGATGCTGCAATCAAAATCGAACGAGAAACCAGTGCCATCCGTCGAAACTGCAAACAACTTGCCCGCTCTGCAGCCATCTAGCACTAGACAAGGGCTCCTTCTTCCAGCATCTCTGCACGCACCACCCGCGGCCACTTCTACACCCGCGTGGAGCTGATGGCGCTCTTCGACCAGCGCCCGCAGTGGGCGCCAGTGGCGCTGGCAGCACCAGCAGGAGGACTGCCTCGCCCAGACCGCAGCCGCCGACCGCGACGCCCGCTCGGAACGGGCAGGTGGTGGACCTCACGGCGCGCTTGGCGCTCACGTTGGCCAGGGAGCAGGCAGATCTAACGGCGGCGGTGATGCAGACGTGGGAGATCGACACGAACAGCGGCATCGCCAAGGCAGCGCTGGCAGCAGGACAAGCGTACAACGAGCAGGCACAGGAGCTACGACGCCGCGCGGGCACGGGCGGGCAAGTGGACACAGCATCGTTGGGCAGCCCGCACATCCGCGTCTGGACGGAGGTAGCGAACTACATAGGACAGGCCCTCGACGAAGGGCCAGAACGCGAGCACCTGGAGAAGTACTGCCAGGACACAATGTTGTCTGGGCAGCGCGGTGGCGGTGGCGGACGGCATTCCAGTTTTCAGGGTGCGCAAGAACAAGGGCAAAGAGGGAGGAGCTCAGGAGCGATGCCGATTCCAATTCTCGGTCAAGACCACGCTGCACCAGATCGAGACGATCCTCGTGCGCCAACTGCGCAAGGAGGGAGCCATTCGCAAGACAGGATCGGCGCCGAGGGGGGCGCTGGAGCGCGAGCTGGGCCGGCTGATCAACGACCAGTAGCAGAGGTACGAGACGCAGCTCAGGGCGCAGTTCACCGTGAGAGGCCCCAGGCAATTTGCCGCAGTGAGCGTGAGACCGACGGCCACGAGAAAACAGTCCAGCTCTGTCCAGTTTCGAGGGCCGATGCAGCCCGTGCGATCCCGCAGGCCTTCAGGACTAGTGAGCGTTTCAGAATGCCAGTCAGAGAAGGCCGCGAGACTCCCGACCTCTACCAACTCCCAGGCCAGAGCTACCCTGAGTATTATGTAGTGCACCGACCTCCCCCGCCCCCGAACCGAAGAGAAACGGTATGGGGAGGGGAGGACCGAGCAGGGGGGAAGAGGAGCGAGCGGAAGGGCACTCGTAAAAGCGGGTGCTACCCTGCCCGCGACCTCCCGCGTGGGGTCGGTGCAGGTAGGGCCCGAGCGTCGATTGACGCCTGCGACCCCCTTTCAGCAAGGACATCACAGCTAGGCCACCAGATTTTTGTAAAGCAGCGCAGAGCCCCGAGCGAGCGTAGCACCGAACTGGCCCGAGAGCTCGATCGATCGATCCTCCCCCTCCTCCCCCTCCTCCTCCTCCTCCTCCTCCTCCTCCTCCTCCTCCTCCTCCTCCTCCTCTAAGACCATAGGGCGAGGCGCGCGGTGCTGCATCCGAAAGGGGGCGTGGGCTTCGGCCTGCCACCCCGCCCTTGCCCCCCTGCCGTCCCCCGCTCCTCCATCCTCCGCCCTCCAGTTGGCCCAAATCGCTGCCACTCGTGCTGCAGCTCGGGCATGGCGCCAGTGGCGCGTCGCCCCTCGGTCAGGTCCCTTGGCATTCCACTTCTCACAGCAGCGCGTTGCCCCGGGAAGCCCTGAGGTTCTCACACTAGCTGCCAGCGCTGAGCCCGTCTTCACGACACAGCCATCGTCCGCTGCCGCCTCCGGCCTCTCTCCCAAAAAGGTGGGAGGCACACCACCTTACACTCTGGCAGCGCGGCAGGCGCTCGAGCTTGTGGAGCTGGCTGTGGGAGCACTGCAGCCAGAATGATCTCTTGGGCTGGCCACTCGAGCAGCACCAAAAGCCGCGTACGGCACAAACGAGGGGCCTCCTCCGTGCATTGCCCCCCGACGGACGGGGACGATCCCGAGATCCGGCAGGACCAGCGCAGGCCTCACCCTCCCCGAAACCTCGCCCTCCCCCTGCGCCTCACTCCTCGCCCCTTCCAATCCCCCTCCTTGCCCTCCTTTCCCCCGCTGCCCGTCCCCACCCCCTCCCCGCCCCTTGACTACACCTTTGCATCTGGAAAGGGGTGCGGCTGGCATGCAGGGGGGGCAGAAGGGGCGGAGGATGGAGAGGAGTGACGGGGGGCTTGTCATGTAGGAGTGACGGAGCGAGCCCAGACCGCCCGCATCCAGATTTTTCGGTCGCCGACCCCCAGGACCTCTCGACCCCTCCGGTCTGGTGCTGGGCAGTGCCAGACGGTGTTCGCCACCTCCTCCAGAGGAGCAGGGGGATGACCACCCAGGAGCCCGCCCAAGGACCATCCCAAGACTGTCAAAAACGTGAAGCCAAAAACGCCTCGATATTCGATCCTTGAACGTTACCCTGCCCTCCGGGGGAGGTGGCGTCCCCCCCTCCCCTATGGGGTGACCTCCGCAGCAGACATCCATACACCACCACCACCACCACTACGCCTAGCCAAGACCATCCTGGGCGTACACACCGTCCTGGGGCCCAGGTTGGCCCTGGACATGACCAGAGGTGGTGTGCGGACGCCTTCCGCGTATGACCCCACTTGGCACTGTCTGAAAACTGAGGGCAAGGGTCGGCTATACGCAAGGGTGACCCTGGGGAAGAACCTCGGCGCGCGGCTTGAAGAAGCCACAAGGGGGGATGAGAACCCGAGCGCGCAAGCCAGTGCTGGGGGGACCCCCTCTGGGTCCACACCCAAGGTTGTCCGAGCGAAGGGCCATTCTTGCGCGCAGCCGAGGGGAGGCGCACTCCGCGCGCGCCAGGGCTCAGACGGACGGAACGCCGCCCCATAAGCCAAGCGAGCAGCGCCCCAGCGGCCGCATGGCCGCGCCCTCACGCGCCACATGCCCCCGGGTCACAGTCGAGGCAGGCCCGGAGGGCAGCCCGGCCTACTGCAAACTCTTCTGGCTCGTGTGCTGGGTGTGCTGAAGGCGTCGGAGACAGTCAAGCAGCCCTCACACAGAGCATACGGCCCGAGCCCCATCATCCCCCAGATTTCAAAGATGGCGCTGGATATCAAGCGTTCGACTCCTGACGGGAAAAGAGGGCAACCATATGGTCGGTACTGCCCCCGATCATGGGGCGAGACGTCTTGCCTTCACCTTTGCTTGGCGCCCCCTTGGCCCCAGACCCCCCCCCCAACAAAAACAAAGAAATGGTTGTGTGCCCCACCCCCCTCCGAAAAACACATCATGCCTTTGGCCCGCCTGCGAGTGGAAGTGCGCCTTTCGCAGGGGGGAGGGGGCCCGAGACCTTAGAGCAGACAAGTGGGCTGCCCTCGGGGAGAAACGTGGGGAAGGCGCAGGCGAGGCTCGGGACTGCAACGCTAAGGAGCCGCCTTGGGCCGACTGCTACCTGCGGAGTGGCGAACACTCGTGCATCGCCCTTGCGTGGCAAATCGAGCATGGGATCGTAATCGCTCAGAGATGCGCCAACTCGCCACGAGCATGTATACGAGCATGTGCACATGCATGCCATGCCACCACGGACGCATGCGACTGCGTATGAACATGTTCATCCACGTGCACGGACATGGACATGTACGAGCTCACAAGCGAGCACTTGTTCATACGCGTGTACATGCACGCGCCAATGAGCGAGAACACACCCATACACATACACACAGTTATAATCAACGTGCACCTTAGCTTGTACGTAGACGTGCGTGCGCACACACGTGAACACACATACAACATGCCACGATGTGAATACTCAAAAACGTGTGCGCGTACACATGGCATAAGCATGCTGACTCATTCACGTGCCAGTGCAACCACACATACCTGTTCCTGCCTGGCAACGCCGAGTGTTGATTGAGCGTGTGACTCTCTCTCTCTCTATCTATATATCTATTTCCCTCTATCTCTCTTTCCTGTTGTTGTTCTTCTCTCGTTGTCCCAAGTCCCTCTCTCCATCGTTGTTATCTCGTCCCCCCTCCATATGTCCCTCCCCCTCTCTCTCTATATCCGTCTCTCTCTCTCTCTTTCTCTCCTCCTCTTGGGGGAGATTACATGCCCAGGGCTCGCCTGGGGTAGACAGCCGCGAAGAACAGGGAACACTCCCCCAATCCAATCCTCCTCCGTATGCTACTCTCCCCGTGCTCTCCCTCCTCCTTGCCATCCTCCGTCCTGGTCCGTACCTTTCCTTCCACCTACCCCTTCACCTCCCCCGCCCCACCTGCCACTCCCACTCCCACTTCCGTCCTCCTCGTCCTCCTCCTCCTCCTCCTTCTGCTCCTCCTCCTCCTCCTCCTCCTCCTCCTCCTCCTCTTCCTCCTCCTCCTCCTCCTCCCTCCGCCATCGCCTCTTCCTCCTCCCACATATCCCTCCCCCTCCCTCCCTCCCCGCCCCTTCCTCCCGCCTCCTCCCGCCCGCCCTTGCGGAGCGCACTGACCCATCCTTCCTCTGCCTCCCCGCCCCCCCCCACGTGCTCCCAGAAAGGCAGCAGGATACGGATACCGCCGCTGCTCCCCGGGCCACTCCCGGGCGGGCTCTGACCAGAAACCTCGAGACGAACCCGGCCGTGGCGGCGAGGGGCAGGTCGCGGCAGCGGTACCTGTCCCTCCTCTGGCTTCCCGCCACTCCCAGAGGCCTCCTGGATGGGGCGCGAGTAGATGAGGCTGGAGGATTGCACCGCATTGCCGATGTATCGCCGATGCATCGCCGATGCATCGGCGACGTCGGCAATGCATGAGCGGCGTTGGCGTGGAGAAGTGCGGGCTCCACTTCGAGCCGCATCGCCGATGCATCGGCGATGCGTCGGCGATGCGTCGGCGATGCGGCGCGACCCTCCGACCCCGTGTCCTCCGACCGCATCTGGAAGGCCCAGGACTCCCGCGAGGCCCCTCACCACTCTCCCCCGACCCGTCCTCTTGGATCCGAGGGAGGGGGAGGAGGCAGACGGACCAGAGCGGCCGCGCGTCGGCCCGGCGCCGACCCCGACCCCCCGTGAAGCGCCGACAGCGGCGTGAGGTAGATCACGCTGCGGAAGACGGGGAAGGAGTCCTCCAGGGCAGGGCGAGCAGAGGCCTCCCAGATGGGGTCGGAGCAGATGGGGTCGGGCGATCGCACCGCATCGCCAATGCATCGGCGCCGTCGGCGTGGAGAACATCGGGCTCCACATCGAGCCGCATCGCCGATGCGGCGCGATCCTCCGACGACCTCTGCTCGGACCCCACCCGGGAGGCCTGGAGCGAGGGCCCAGACCTCACCGGTCCGTGGGGGCTTGCCGGGCCCGGGGGAGCAGCCCAGACCTCCGGGGATCAACGACGCGGACGCGATCGAAATGCCACGCCGGAGGGAAGGAGAGGAGGCAGAGGAGGAGGGGACAGGGACGGGAAGGGGGAAGAAGAGAGGGGGGGACAGGTTATACGTCTTCGCACGGCTGTTGCCTTGTTGCTCAGACTCCAGAGGCCTCCCCGAGACCTCCAAGGAAAAAGTCCTCCTGGTCAGAGGTATTCTCCTTTTTCTCCTCGTCCTCCCCCTGCCACCCGCTGCAAACGCGGCCGGGGAACACTTTCCTCTCTCGTGAGCAGATGGCCATCGGGGCCAAGCGCGTATGGGCATCAATGCGATGCGGCCGCTGGCGAAGAGCGGCAGCTCCGTGTTGGAGCCAGTGGGGCACCAGGACAGCCAGCGCAGGGAGGAGGAGGAGGAGGAGGAGGAGGAGGAGCAGGAGCAGGGGCATGGGCGAGCGGAGAGGGAATGGTGAGCCGGAGGAAGCGGGACGGGAGGTGGCAGGAGGGAGGCAGCCGCGAGGCAGCCGCTGTCCTCGAGGTGCTCCAGGACCTCGGAGAAGGCGTGCTCGAAGAGGGGCAGGTGGGCCACGCGGGGGTCCTCCGCAAGCCCATGCCCGACACCAAAGCAACATGCACCCCGACCCGTTTCCAGTCGAGTCTTGCTCGTTGAGCTCGCAGGGGTTCTGTTCAGAGGCGGTCCTTGCCATCAGATCGACCCGACCGATTGCACAACATATCCGACCGAATCGAACCCCACTGGTGGATGAGGGGAATGCCCAGCCAAGTGCGTAATCCGATAAGTCAACGACACCTTCTGACATCGGCGCGCATCGCCGAATCGAGCGGATCGTCTACGCATTTGTTTCAAACCATCCCACCCTGCTTGAGATGGGCGGTGTGTCTGTCAGCACCTCCTCCCGATTATCTCATACGCGCGGCAACATCAACGGGCACACCCGACACGAATGAGAATGCGAAGAGGCCACACAAACTCATGCCAAAGGCCAAAAGTATCCACACACACAAACACACACCGTGCCGTAGACACTCCGTGGAGTCAGGCTCCTGTGTCGTCTATACCGAGTATTTGAATGCTGCACGCACCCATACCCCATTTTGCGGAACTTCTGCGGCTTGCCGCATAACTCACAGGCCTGTTTGCACGATTTGTCCCGAGAAAAGCCTCTAGACGGCCCCAGAGGGTCACAAGAAAGCTCAGCAACGGTCCAAGAGGACCCCGAGATGGCCCCAGAGCGCGCGAGCGAGACGGCCCAAGATGATAGCCCCCAAGACGGCGCAAAAAGCCACCGAGACACCCCATAGTGGCCCAAAACGGCCGCAAGGGGACGATATCCTTGATTTTTCTCCGGACACTCAACGTATGAGCGGTCTCGCCTTTCGGACTGTCGCGGCTCCGAGACGGCCCCTAAGATCGCCCCGAAAAGGCCAAGGACGGCCCCAGGCAGGGCCTCACACGGCCCATTTGGACCCCGCACCGGCCCAGGAGGTTCCAAGAGGCCTCCAAATGCGCCAGAAGAGGGGCCCAGAATGGGGGAAAGGGGGGGGCCTCGGGGGCGCTTCCCCCAAATAGTGCCCAAGAGCTCCCCGAGAAGCGCCGAAGAGGGCCCACGATGCCCGGAAGAGGTATCTAAGAGGCTCCCAAAAGGCCCCCGAGAGGCCACCATTGGCACCCAGAAGAGACCTCGCAGAGGCCCCCGAGAGGCGTCCCATGAGGCACCGACAGGCATTCAATCCAAGAGGCCTCTCGCACAACCCATGACTGGCGGGGGATGGGCCGAAGGCCACTCACTCGAGATCTGTGGGCAGCCGTGGCGCCGAACACACCGCTGGACCCACGCATGGCAAACGAACAAAAGGATGGGAGGTGAATGCGAACTGACAGAAGGACGACGAAGAAGAGACCAAAATTTGATACTGCAGGACAGAAGGAAGGAATCAACTAACATGAACGAGAACGTGGACGACGATGGTGAGGATGATAGGGATGCCACCGAAAAAGAAGATGCCAATGTTGGAGATGACGGACTTGTGGAATAACTCAATCATGCAAGGACCTTCCCATGTTGAGTTGCATGTGCATGTTCGCGCGGGCATGTCAACTCCGCTGGCTCGCCACCGGGTCCTCCCGCGGACCCGTGGCCAGAGAGTGAAAGCCCAGGCCACGGACCACGTGCGGGTTCTCCGAGGCCGTGACGACAGCTGGGCGCCTGGTCATGTCCAGCAGACTGCGCTGGTGTCCTCCGACCATCCTGAGGTGTTTGATCGTCGTTTTGAAGAGACAGCACCCCGCGTCCCCTCATCTCCCGCCCTCCTCCCCCTCCTCCCTCCTCCCTTCTCCCTCCTCCCCCTCCTTGCCTCTGCCCTCATCGGTATGCGTCTGCTCCACCCCGTACAGCGCTTCGTGGCCACATAGGGAGCTCCCAGAAGGCCCCAGTGGCCGCGCTCGCATGCGGGTCCCCCGCCCAATACAATGTTCCGTGGCCCCATAGGGAGCTCCCCCGAAGGCCCCAGTGGCTGCGCTCGCATGCGGTTCCCCCCAGCACAACAAGTCGTGGCCCCATAGGGAGCTCCACCGAAGGCCGCAGTGGCTGCACTCGCATGCGGTTCCCCCGCCCAGTACAACGCTTCGTGCCCCCATAAGGGGGCTCCACCGAAGGCCCGTGGCTGCACTCGCATGCGGTTCCCCCCACCCGGTTTACTGTTTCGTGGCCCCATAGGGAGCTCCCCCGAAGACCCCCGTGGCCACACTCGCACGCATCTGACCCGCCCAGTACATTGTTTCGTGGCCACATGAAGAGCTCCACCGAAGGCTCAAATGGCCGCACTCGCATGCGTCTTCCCCGCCCATTACCCATTACACCGTTTCGTGGCCACATAGAAAGATCCACCGAAGGCCTCCGGTGTCCGGACGCGTACACCCAAGACAGCGTTCTGTGGCCTCATAGGAGGCCTCAGTGGCGGTGTCCGCATGCGTCTCCACCCAGTACAACGTGTCCTGGCCCATAGGGAGCTCCAACGAAGGCTCCAGCGGCATGGTCCGCATGCGTTTTCCTCGCCCAGTACGGCGTTTCGTGGCCCGTTAGGTCCCAGTAGCGGTGTTCGCATGCGTTTCCTCCACCGGGCACACCGCTTCGTGGCACCATAGGGAGCTCCATTGAAGGCCCCAGTGGCGGTGTCCGCATGCGTTCCCCCCATCCAGTACGGCGCTTCGTGGCCCTATAGGGAGCTCCACCGAAGGGCTCAACGGTATGGTTCGTTTCCCCCACCCAGTACAGCGCTTCCTGGCTCAATAGGGAGCTCCATCGAGGGGCCCCAGTGGCGGTGTCCGCATGCGTTTCCCCCACACAGTTCAGCGTTTCGTGGCCCATAGGGAGCTCCACCGAAGGCCCCAGTGGCAGCGCCCACATAGCGACCCTGCCCCAGGTCGGCACACCCTTAGCATGCTCCATGGCCCCATGAGGAGATCCCCCGAAGGCGATAACCGCAACGACGACACTTACAACTGCATATGGTTGGTTTCTTCGCCAAGAGAATGTTACTGAACAGCACAAAGGAGGAGCTAGAAATGCCAAGCGCCCGCCCACGCTGCCTGCGCAGAATTTCAGGGTTTGGTGCCCCTGGGCCGGGCCAACAGCGCCGCGTATAAAACCCAACGTGGCACGAAGTCACGTGTCGAAGGCCGGAGCCACCAAGTCCAGCAGGCTGCGCGGGGTCCGGCGCAGGAGCCCCTCGGGGGCTCCGCGAAACGACGGCGGCTGCGCGCCTGGGGCAGCACGCCGGGCAGGCGAGGCCTCCCTGGGGACCACCCCAGGGGTGGAGCAAGGCGGCGGCAGCTGCGTGCCTGCAGATGCCAGTCGGCGGCGAGCGAGGGGGGACAGTGAGAAGGAGGAGGCCCTCTCAGAAGCAGGCGGGGCATCTCAGAAGCCTTCGGGCCTCGTGAGAAGTTTTCAGTGGGCCTTCTGGGACGGCCCGCCCCTGCTCACTTTTCCCCCTCGCTCGCCGCCGAGCCAGGGCAGGCGACGTTCCATTTGGATCCACGCGGGCCGTAGATCTACTCTAGGGCTCCCAACTTCGCGCTTCGCGCTCCGCGAAGCGCGAAGCGCGAATAACTTCGCGCTCTCGCGCCGCCCCCCCAAAGGGACAAAAGGAGGACGAGGAGGAGGGGGAGGAGAAACGAGGACCGCGAAGCGCGAATAACTTCGCGCCCTCGGGGGAGCCCTTGCTACTACTGGTACCCCTCGGGGCGCCGCGGAGCGGGGGCACTTGCACGCCCTACGAGGACGTGCGAAAGACGGCATTCCGCTGGAGCCCCTGGGAGGGACAGCGCAGCTGCACGCCAGACAGCCCGCAGTGCGGGCGCAGTCAGATCTGCATTCGGGGCCCCTCTCCAGGGGGCAGCCAAGCGGCGACAGCTATACGCCTGGTTGCGCCCAGGGCAGGCGAGATCTCAGGTGCACCTGCGTCAAACGGTACTCCTCTAGATGACCCCAGGGGCGCAGCAAGGCGGCTACATTTGCGCTCGTGGCAGCACCCAGGGCAGCACCAGGGGCAGCCGCACGGGAGGAGGAGGGACAACCTCATCTGCCCCGCCCCCGCCCCGCCTCCCTCCCTCCCTGGGGTCCACTGTGACGTCTGCCAGCGGCCCTGGGACGTCGTCCAGGTCGTCCAGCGCGAACGCAGCGGAGGCCGCGGCCGCGGGCCCGTCGCCGATGCCGCTGCTGAGGCAGGCGAGGGCACGCTGGAGCTGCTCTGAATCCTCGATCTCCTCGTCCTGGCGGGTTGTTGGCACCCACTGGGAGCATCCAAGGACCCACCACCAGCACACGCAGAACAAACGTCCATACAGCACAGCCGTGTCAGGCCAGGACTATCCGGGGCCATGACATGGCGGTGCACTCGTTCCCCTGGCCCCGGCCAAGACGGTCTGTACAACATTCTGGGGTCCAAGATGGCCCTGGCCAGGCATGGTGGTGGTAGTGACCATGTGCCTTATGCGAAATACCAAAACGCTGTAGGACTGTCATTGGTGGGCCTCTGGGTCCTAGCAACAACTCCAATGAAAGAAACATGCACACCAATGCCAACCTACGATTCGCTGGGTCGCCATTTTGGCTTTGGAGTGTCTTTGGCCTGTTCTAAATCGCGAGCCCTAGGATCTCCTTCGTCACGAAAGTTTTCGAAACGTGGGCCTCCATCCAGAGCGAGTTTCAAGCCACAGCGCCAGAACAGAAACAGCCAGGGATGAACAACATGTCCCCAGGATGTGGCCAAGAGTGCAGGAACAGCCAACATGAGCGACAAAGAACAAGTCTTGCGCACCAAGACGGGGTGAACTTACGCGATGACTTACACGATCCGCTGACGCGGCACAGCACAACACGATCGGCTGACGCGGCACAGCACGGCATAATGCGTATCCGCGACCATGGGCAGGCAGATTGCGCGCCAATGCATGCGCAATCGTTCCCCCGTCTCGCACGTCGCCCAAGTGGCACCAGATCGGTCGACGTCAATTGTATTCCTGCCTCTGGATGCTCAACTTGCTCTGTTTGAATTGGGTTTGACCCGTCCGTGACGGTGACGGGGCTGTCATGGGGCTCGGTTGGATGGGGGGGCGCGGTCGGCGAGTCAGGAGCTCGAGCTGCCCACGAGGAGGGGAGGAGAAGGAGTACGAGGAGGGAGAGGAGGACTGCACTTGACGCAAAGAGGGGGAAGCGGAGGCGAATAAGGATGAGGATGCTGATGTTAGGCAGGGGCAAAGAGGAGGAGGAAGAGGAGGAGGAGGACCAGCGTAAACCATCCATCAACTATGCTGCTATAAACCCGTCCTCCAAGTTCCCTCTCCACAAGCTCCTACAAAACTCTATGTTCAATGCGGGAAGGGCCAGGTTGGAAGACAACCGTCTGAAAATCTACAGCCATGCCAAAGCACCATTCCTGGGACTTCAACGCCGCGTATCAACGTTATTGTTGCGACCTCACGACCCCAAATCGTGTCAGAACACTGTTTCTGGGACGTCAGCACCGCGAATCAGTGTGACTGTCGCGCCCTGAAAATCCTAAATCGCACCAAAACGCTATTCCCGGACGTCAACCATAAGAGTCCGTGAACCTCTTGCAAACTTTGAAGACGAGTGAGCGCGTCGCTAGGGCGATATTCACATTTTGAATCAGGCACGCTCTCCTTACGTGAGGCCCCTTCGAACTGTTCAAACGAGAAATGGCCCACTCTCCGATCGTGAAGATGTATATTTCAAGCTTCTGGGCCATACATGGTGGGGAGGTCTCAGTCGGAACGCCCGGCCCGCGCACATGTCTCGGAGCGCGGCAGGGAGTTTGTTACCCGCCGATCCGGCTGGTGAGTTTTTTTAAGCTACAGCCAGCATCTCCAGCTCTGCTGTTGGGGGTGCTGGGGTGGTCCTGCCGGGAAAAGGGGGGGCAAGTGGGGGAGGTCTTCAATTTCGGGATCCGTTCCCGCGACGCAGGAGGAAGGGTGCGGGGGCGGTTTGGCCAGGGAAGGGGGGAAGGGGGGAAGGGCGGCAATGCCGCCAAGGCCGCCAAGACGGCCCAAGAGAGCTCCTGCACGCCCAAGACGGTCCCAAGTCTGACCACGAGGCCCCAAGAGCGCGCCCCAAGAGGTGCGGTGGGATTTTTGTGTTTCTGAAGTTATCTCCTTTTCGAGCTGTCGACGCTCCAAGGCGGCCCAAGAGGCCCCCAAGACCGCCCCGAGACAACCAAAGAGGCCCCTAAGAGGGCTCCAAGACGGCCCACAAACAGCCCAAGAGGCGCCTAAGACTGTCCATGCGGGCCCCAAGAGGGGGAACATGAACCGACGATTCGAGCCTTCTGCCCCAAGAGGCCCCCAGGAAGCCAAAAAGGCCCCCAAGAGGCAAAAAGGCCTCCTAGAGGCGGTGATTCGCCGTGGTCGCCTTCGATGAGAGAAGATTGAAATGACGGGAAGGAAACTATGACATATTCATGCTACGACCCACGCAACCACCTACTAACGAACCAACCCGTCCTGGAACTGGCCCGCCAACAAGCTCAACAGACAGACACAAGGCAAACATTTCATCCAACACATACTGCCTAAGGCGACTGCCAACGCCCTCCTCCCTCCTCCTCCTCCTCCTCCTCCTTCTCCTCCTCCTCCTCCTCCTCCTCCTCCTCCTCCCCTTTTTCCCCCTCCTCCTCCTCCGCCTTCTCTCTCCGCCTCCTCCCTCATCATCCTCGCTTTTGTCCCCTCGAGGTGCAGCTCACAAACTATTAAACATGACGTGTTCGCACGGATCATCCTGGAGCGTCTCGGATCGGTGGCACAGGCCGCAGGCCTCTACAACAAGGAAGAGAACTGGAGGACGAACAACGTGGGATTTGGAGGACGAGGAGGAGGACGAGAAGAACGAGGAGGACGAGGAGGATGAGCAGGACAAGGAGGACGAGGAGGATGAGGAGGACGAGGAGGACGAGATTGTGGGGGTGAGGAGGACGAGGAGGGGGAGAATCGAAACATGGCCAAGGCAGGCCCTATGTCACGGGCCACACGTCAATGCATCTCCATGGCGGTAGGGAGTTATCCCAACACACCAACGCACTTCAATCAGGCTCCGAGTCTCTTGCGCGCGAAATGAATGAGAAACCCACTATTCGTCTGTCCACTTGTGACCAGTTTGCAAAGCTACGCGCAAGTGGTCAACGAAATCTAACCACGTCACCGCACCTTAACACGAGCCCTGTTTTCGAGTTGAACACAATTTCTGCTGCATGGCCGGTACGACTTGATCACTAATCGTGATTTCAATTGTGCTACCCCTCCGGGTCGCCGAAAGCTCAATTGAGAGTGGTTAGTCTAGAAGCGACATGCTGCTGCGTGTGCCGTTCGTGGATGTCCGAGTCGCAGTGACGTTTAACGTCGCGCTGCTGGTGCCCGAGGTGCTGCCCGATGACTTCAACAACGTGACGCTCCACGCGAGAATCGCCTCACCCGCGGGCGCTGCTGCTCCTCTCGTCGACGTCACGGTGCTGGTCCCAGGGGTGCTGTTGAGTGGGGTGGACGTCGTCGAACTGATGATCCCGCTCGTGGATGTCCAGGGCGTGCCGGAAGCTGGTTCTTAACGAGTCGTGCAGCTACATGGGATCGTCAAGCACGCTACTGCCGAAGGGTAACGGTCTGAGCACCCTGGGCCACGATACGAAACGACCTTACTCTCCACCACGCTGGGCACCAGTCGTGGTGCTCCGTGACGCGGGGTTGTGTGGCTTCCTCCTTGCATGCTGGTCGCTGGCGTATTGGTAATGCTGCCTGTGTTCGGGGTCGAATTAGTAGCGCCAATGACGTCATTCTCATCTGAATTGATGGCCCTGTGGCCTCAAAACCGTGCTGCCCCCAGGCGTGGTCAAAGTTGTCTCGCCGAGGCAGACACTGCGCAATGCTGGGGAATTGCCGCGGCTGGGTCGCGAAACAGGGGCGGTAGATTGGGCCAGGGCAGGGGGCGGACAGGATGGCCAGAAGAAGGCAGGGAAGGTCATCGTAAGAGAGGAAGGGGAGAGACAGAGAGAGAGAGAGAGAAAAAAAAAAGAGAGAGAGAGGGAGAGAGAGAGAGAGAGAGAAAGAGAGAGAAACAAAAAAATAAACAGAGACAGAGAAGGGGACGTAAGGAAAGAGGATGGATGGGGAAAATGGAAGATTATCCTCCAGGACGCCCGCCTTGGGAGCCAGCAGAAAACCACACTTGGCACCATCGAAGAAGACCGCACGCCCTCCCTTCTCCCCCTTCCACCCGCTCCTGACACCTCATCTGTGGGCCGCCAACCATGGGGTCCGAGCAGGGGTGGTCGAAGATTGATGATTCATCGGCTATGCCAGAACGGAGACCGTACATAAAAAATAAGTTCGAACTCTGCGGCGCAAAATACATCCTCAGACCCAAAAAACTAATATTGAAGGTGCGGCAATGGAGAGGGCATGGGTGGACAGAAATACTCGAACATTGATTTCGGGGGCCCGGGGGGGGTGAACATGCCCCTCACGTGTGTGAGGGTTCGAATCATTTGTCCATGTGCTGGAAGATCGGGCTTCGGAAAGGGCCACCTCGCCGATGCATCTGTGATGTGGCGCGATCATCAAGCCCCATACACTCCAAGCGATCCCCTCCCCTCTCTTCCCACCCCCCGCTGGAGAACGGAATAGCTGGGTCTCCTCGGGCTGAGGCGCATCTGGCAGCGCGGACCCGGCCAGCTCCGCGGCCACGTCTGGCTCCGGCCTGGCGGACAGGGCGAGCACCACGAAGAGCAGCTTGGACACCTCTTCGCCAGAGGGGCCGACAAGAGGGAGGACGACGGAGGAGGATCGAGGACCGCGGGGGAGAAACGAGGAACGAGAAGCATGTGATGGGTGTTTTGACATGTAGTTGCATCCCGCGCGTGCACGGATGATGGTAAAGAGGAAGAATGATAAGAAGAACAAAAAGAAAAGGACGAGGAGAAGGACATGGAGGAGCTGCACTCTGCGCTGCCAGCAGAACGTGCCAGGCTCGGCTGGGGGCCACCCGATTCGGAGGGGTTGCACAGCGGCGGTACCCGAGCTCGCTCCGACATCCCCCGACGTAGATCTGAGGAGCGGTCAATGAGAACCGACGCTTCTTTCTAGCCCTGCGAACTTCATGACGGGGCCTGAGCACTGCAGAGGCCGCAATTTCCCGATGATCACTGTTCGCACCCCACATTGGCTTTGAGGAAGCTCACTCGAAATTCATCGACGAGGCGCCTGAGAGTACCAGGGAGCTTCGAGAGACGCCCTGATCACTCGAAGCCTGCTTGAAACGCTCCTGGACGCTCTGGCAAATCTCTGTTACCTTGAAATGCTCATGGGCCGCCTTTGCTGCAGATTGCTGCTTGGGGGACCCATTCTCTCCGATACCGGCGCTCCCTGGACCTCTCACTGGGTGCAGTCTGACCAGGACTATCCCGAGGCAAACCAAGCTGTGGCGACGAGGTCCCCCCTAAAGAGACTGGAGAATCTGAGAAGGCGAAAACGAGGAAAGGGAATCCGTGTCGGTGTGTTTCCCTCCTCTGAGCTGCGGGCCCTCTGAGCATTCGAAACCACAGGGGATGCCCCTGGGTGAGTGGGACGATCGGGAGAGGCCAGCTGATGGGGGAAACAATAATCGACGACACATCGCTCGCCAGTGGATCGGCAATGAAGAGCCGATCGGGGGTCGATGTTTTCCACCCCCCGCCCCGAGTGTATCCCCACTTGGAGGCGGCCGCGGAGTCTGAACTGGTTGGGACCCTGGAAAGTCGGTCAGGAGGGGGGGGGCTGAGACCAAATTCGCTCAAAATCGGTCCCTCGACCCCTCCCTGAGGGGATCCGTTTCACACGGTCTCGGGTCCCGAAAACAACCCTGGATGCCGAAAGAACAAAAACCTGCCCGAACCCCAAACCTTGAACCTGCCCGCCCTTCTCCCTGGCCAGAACCAGCGCTGGGCCGTCTCAGACCCCCAGACGGCTCCACATCCCCCTTCCCTCAGCGGTGCGCCCGCCGACTTCCGTCGCCCATGGCCCAGAACTGCGGGCCCTCTGAGCCTTCGGGGCCACCAACAAAGGGCTGCCCTGCGGCGGGGGCCCCCCAAACAAGGGGGGGGGGAGGCACGGCACGCGGACCGTCCCGATGTGGCACCCTCTGGGCAGAAGAGGGGGCCACGGGCGGTGCTGCGCTGCGAGCCGCCGGGCGCGGGGCGGGGCGAGGCGCGAGGCGCCCCGCAGGTGTCGGACGAGCCCAGGGACTGGTGAGGATGCCCGGGGCGCGGCGGCCTTCTGAGAGCGCTCTGGAACGCTCTGACAGCGCTCTGGACCGCTCGGGAACAGCTTTCTCCTCGTCCAGGCCCCGTCCTCGGGTGGTCCCCGCGGAGGCCTCTGGGCGTCTCTGGGAGGCTCGGCTGCACGCAGCGAGTGACCCCTGGGTGGAGGTGGCCGTGGGTGCGCGGCTTTTCGGGGAGCGCGGGGCGCCCAAGCCGAGCGCGCAGGCCGCTGCTGTCGCATCGAAGTCGGCGATCGGGGGAGGCCGGTGGGCCCGCGCCAGAGGTCCCTCTGGCTGAGGATCACTCCTGCGTGTCGTCGATCCTCTGGGGAAGCCCGACTCCCAGCACCTCTCCCAGGGCGCGTTCTGATCCGAGTTTTTCGACAAGACGCCTCCACATGGCAGTGCCGATTCGCCTGCAGGTTCCGAGGGAGGAGCTGCAGGCGAAGTCGATCGGAGAGCACCACACAGATCGCACCGCAAAGATTGCACCGCATAGACAACACCGCATGGGCAACGCCGCACAGATTGCACAACATAGATCGCACAACAGAGCTTGCAACACATACATTGCACCGCACACGTTGAACCACATCGATTGCAGGCTTCCGCGGAGGCCTCCCACGCGGGGCCCCCCTCCCCCTGCCCCCCGGCGGCGCCTCCGGTGCCGACCCGAGGAATGCGCGCAGACCTCGGGCAGCTTCCTTACTCCCCAGAAAGAGCTTGCAGGCGGGGGTTCTCATCCTGCCGACCTGATGAGCTGGACGGGTCTGCCGAAGACTATTCCGCGTTCCCGACCGCGGGCGCTCGTGGACACCGCGTGCCCTGGGGGAGTCCGCCAAAGTTTCGCCTGGTGCCGGTCCGTGGTGGCCTCGTGGGCGCCACAAGCCCTGGGTGGGTCCGCCCGAGTTTCGCCTGGTGCCCGCCCATGGGCGCCTCGTAGGCGCTCGTGGGCTCCACGTGCCCTTGGAGGGCAGCATGCATAGCCTACACGACATAGCTCACATCGCGCAGTTTACACCGCACAGCTTGCGCAGCATTGCTCACACACCATAGCTCATACCAGACAGCCCCCACCACACAGCTTACACAACAAGGTCAAAGCCTCACAGCTTCATCCTCACAGCTCCCACCTCCACAGTGCAAGAACTCACTGCTTGGGGTCCACGCTGGCCCCCGAGAAACAACCCCAACGTCCAAATAGCTCACGTGACAAACGCATGCAGCACGCATCGGCCCTGGCAACGCACGCATGAGGCAGCACAGCACTTGGCGGGGGCAGGCAGACCGCCCTCGCCTCCCGCCTCCGCCAGCCTCGGCGGGCCCTTTGAGGGCCTCTCTCCGTGCGAGGGAGGCCGGCTCCTCTCCTGCCCCGTCGACGACGAGCTCCTCTCTGGAGCCGGCCGCGGCGTGCCTCCCCGCGGGCGTCCGGGGGCCGCCTGGGCGGAGCTCAGCTGCGGCCGCAGGGGCTCCAGGAAGGAGAAGACCAGCGTCCACAGGAGCCTCCGCGACTCCGGGGTGGGGGACAGCCTCGGGCGCGGTGTGCTATTGCGCGGCTCCCTCCCCTCACGAGCACGTCCACCGCCCCCCCCTCGGCCTCGCCCTCCTCCTGCCCTCTCCTCCCGCCTCCCTCTCCTGCGTCGCCCCCGTGCACCCGCTTCCCCTCTCTTGCGTCCCAGCTACTCCTTCCACACCTCTGGTCCCTTCCTCCCTCCCTCCTCGTTCTTCCACCTGCCCCCTTCTTGCTCCATCCTCCCCCTCCCCGTGGCGTCGGACGTCATGAAAACAGATCGGCGCCGAGAGCAGAAATCACGACCGGAGCTCCGTTCGCCGCCCTCAGCCAAGAGCGTTCTGGTTCGATCGGCCCAAGAAAGCCCCATAGATCTCCAGGGGGCCAAAGATGCCAGCCGACCTCGTGCGCTTTTTTCCGTCCGCATGGTTCCACCCCGCCGTCCCCCCACCCTCAGGCGCGCCGGGGGGCAGAGCCGAGCGAGCTCCAGTCACGACGGGGTGGCCCCAGGAGTGATCGCTGCTGCCCCGCTCTTCGCCGCTGGTCCAGGCTCTACCACGGCGATCCAGCCTGGCCCTCCCGCGGAACATGTAAGCACCGAGGGGAAGAACAGCGGACGGCGGAAGAAGAAGAAGAAGAAGAAGAAGAAACGGAACACGACGGATCACGAAGAGCAACACCAAGATGACAGGCAGACGGTAACCGTTTGTTTTCGACGCAAAACGAACCAATGACCCTCTGCACGACAAAAAGCTGTGCAGCGGGAAGATGCGTCTGTCACGGAATACCTCCTGGAGGTGGTGGACATGCCCAAGGGATTGTCGAAACGTGCATACCTGAGAAGACCCAGAGATGGTTGGATGTGAGAAGAAAGAAGAAAGGAGAGAGGATACTCAAGATGTGCACCCTAACATCTAAACCGCAGATCGAGACTCCGAGAGACTCGTCATGATGCAACATTGTGAGAACTCGTTTGCGGGGTTCGCCACCCATCCTTGTGCGGGCCTTGTAGGCGGGGCCCGCGCCCTATCGTACAAGTGTCGTCAGTCTCCCCTTGCGCAGAGCGCAAAGTGGACTCCTAGAGCACAGAGAGCTGTCAAGGCGGCGGTGGCCAGGGCGGCTCGGCAAAGCCGCGGACGAATTGCAGTGGCACTGGTGAGGGCACCGATTCGCATCAACATTCGGCGCCTGACACAAAAGGTTTGAAATTGTGCGAAAGTTGGAAGCCCATGTTGTCTACGACCAAATCCAATACATACTGTGTTGCACACGGCGCTGGCATCAACGTTAAATGTTCGACTTCCATGGATGACCTCACACGCGCGCGCGACCAGCAAGCGGCGCAGCTCTCGCAATCTCCGAAGTGCTGTCTCGAATAGCAGCCGCACTGAAGGTACTCGACATCGCCACTGGCAGCTCACCTGACGAGCAATTAGCATCGAGTCGACATGAAACTGCATCTGCTCGGCAATGCGCAAAGACGCGTGCTGAAAATTGTCCAACAACTCGCGTATTCCGCAACATTGCTTGTGACGTAGACAATTTGCGCTCCGCGGCTGGGTAGGGGAAACGGAAGGGGGGGGAAACGGAGGGCCAAGAGGGACGCTAACTGCCGGCCGGCCACTTCTTCCAGATTGAAAGAAAACAGTTGCGGCTACGCATGCCATACGCAATGCCACCCACCCCGCCGCCACACTGCACAAGCTTTGCTCAAGGACGGCGGCAATGCTTACACACCACCCGGAATGTGCCGTCACGTGCGCTGGCGCACCTGGCGCACCATGCGCGCGTCGCGCACATCTGCTTCATCGCAGCGGAACCTGAGCGCCTGGAACACCTGGCGCACCACGCGCCCACATTGGCCGCCTATGGCTGTCCGACGGCAGCCGATCCAATCTCTGAGTCTCGGGTCGTACTGCTGCGTCGGAACGACGGGCGAAAGTGAGCGAGACGATTTGAAGTATTACCTGAAGGAACCTGGCTCCTGCTCCTTCCCACTCCCTCTCCCAGCCCCCTCCCCTTCCTCCATACGTGCTCCCTCTCCCCCTCTGTCTGCCCCCACTGCATCCATCACTCGCCCTCCCCCCTTTCCCCCATCCACTTTCCTCTTCCTCCTCCTCCTCCTCCTCCTCCTCCTCCTCCTCGCACTCAGTTGACTCCACGACCTGACGGCGCAACCGATGGCCGCGCACCGCCTGCGGTGCCACTTTTCCCGTGACCTTGCCGGCCTTTCTCGAACGCGCTGGTCCACGCATGTAGTTCATGACGTATGGTGCCCAGCCTGTCGCACGCATGCCGATGCTGGCCCACATGCCATGCACAAGCAAGGAAGAAGTGGAGTGGTTCGTGCCACCAGGTACTGCCTGACAAGTATCCTACGGCCCATGAGCTCCGTCCCTGCGATTGTGGCAATGGCCAACTGGACCCCAGCATCGGTAAACAAACCCGCGTATACCCATACCTATACGACCACCCTTCGAAAATGATAAGGAGGTTCGGGTGGGGAGGACCAACGTCTCACTCGATCGGTCTCACTATCGATCTCGCTATCGATCTCATTATCGGTCTCGCTCGATCGATCTCACTCGATCGATCTCACAATCGATCTCAGTCGATCTATTTCATTCGATCGAACTCACAATCGATCTGACTATCGATCTAACAATCGATCCCACTATCGATCTCACAATCGATCTCACATTCGATCTAACTATCGATATAACTATCGATATCACAATCAACGCCATCATCATAATCATCAACATCATCGTCATCAACGTCATCAACCTCATCATCACCATCAGCATTATCGGGACACCATCATCGTCACCTCATCACCATTATCATCAGCATCATCATCACCATCAGCATCATCGGGACACCATCATCCTCACGATCATCATCATTATCATCATCATCATCATCATCATCATCATCGGGGCACCATCATCATCAGAAAACCTCCATCATCATCATGATCAAGAACAGCATCATCAGCATCATCACCATCGAGATAACATCATCATCATCAGCAATATCAGCATCACTAACATCATCATCATCGGAACACCATCATCATCATCACCATCATCATCATCACCATCATCATCAACATCATCGGGACACCATCATCATCAACATCAGCATCATCAGCACCATCATTGGGCCACCATCATCAAAATCCTCATCACCATCATCATTTCATCATCATCACCATCATCAACATCATCATCATCGGGCCACCATCCTTGTCATCATCATCATCATCATCATCATCATCATCATCATCATCATCATCATCATCGGGACACCATCATAATCATGACCATCATCATCAACAGCATCATCATCAACCGCATCATCACCATCATCGGGACAACATCATCATCATCATCATCATCATCATCATCGTCATCATCATCATCATCATCATCTTCATCTCAACCAAACCATCTGATCATCATCAACATCATCATGACCATCAACAGCATCTTCATCATCACCATCGGAGCACCATCACCATCATCAGCCACACCATCATCATCAACATCATCATCGGGGCACCATCATCATCACCACCATCACCATCATCATCATCAACATCGTCAGCAGCATCATCATCATCATCATCATCATCATCATCATCGTCGGGACACTTTCATCATCATCATCATCACCATCACCATCATCATCATCATCATCATCATCATCATCATCATCATCGTAGTTATCATCATCGCCAACATCATCAACATCATCATCATCATCATCATCATCATCATCATCATCATCATCGGGGCACCAACGGGACACCGGCGGGACACCGGCGGGACACCGCGCGCCACTGGCCCCCCGAGCGGGACACCGGCGGGACACCGCGGGGCACAAGTTGCCGGAAGGGAGACTTTTGGTCCGGCCGCGCCTCAGCTACAGCAGACTTCTTTCTCGCCCGCCCACGCAGCTTCGCCTCGCTCGCACGCACAGCACGCACGAATACGGAACCGAAACCGATTTCCCGGCAGGGGGCTCTCCGTTCCACTTCCACCTCACCCCCTCACCTCCGACCCCATCGATCTGCCGTCGACGGTGCCGTCCTCTGTGGTAACTCTGCAGTATTCCACCGTGCCTGCCTGCTTCAGGTGGTCCTGCAAGATGCACCAGTCAACATCGTAGGACAAGTTCCCGACGTTGACCAGGCGCTCGCCGCACGCTCTGTTGTCTCGGCCAGAGCCCTTGCCGTCTCCGCCCTTGCTGTAGTAGCGGATGACATTGTTGCACCACTGGTCGCCCCACTGCCCGCTGCCACTTCGGGTTCTTCTCGCACGTGCTGGCCTCCGCTTGTAGCTGATCAAATCCTAGAGCGCTCCTCCTCTTCCTCTGTCTTATCCGGCAGCATCTCGTCGTCCTCCTCCAACTCGTAGCTCTACTCCTCGGGTTCCTCGTCGCTCTCCTCGACCTCGTCGTGACCGTTGTGTGGCCCAACCCCTGCCGTCCTCTCTCTCATAGCGCCACTGCTGCCATTGCAATTAGCTGCCACGGCCGTCCCTCTTCGCTGAGCTGCCACTGCCGTTATTTTTCGTTGTCCGTATCCCTCGCCTCCACCGTCATCGGCGGGGCCTTCTTTATCTCGCTGATGATCAGGTGTGCGATATCCCAGTGGCCATATTCGGCAGCGAATCTGCAGACATTCGCCAGGAATTGGTGGAGGATCTCAGGAGCAAGTGGGTCACGCCAGACCAGTGGGTGACGCCGCCAGTAGGCCACGCCCGAGGCGTCATTGTTTACGACCGCCCACTGTAGGACGTCCGCGTCCAGCTCGAAACGGGACACGCTAGGCCGTCCAACGTCGTAGCTGATGGCGTCGGGTCGTGCTTCGCGTCCCCACGCTCGCGGGTGATGCCGCCAGGCTCGCGGTCTGTAGCACCACCCTCGTAGTTGACGGCGTCGGGATCGTAATGGCCGCATCGTGTGGCTGAGTCACCCTCGTAACTGATGGCGTTGGGCTCGTGCGTCACGACGCCGCTCTCGTAGCTGATGGTATCGGGCTCTTGCTTCGCTGCGCCGCCTTCGCAGCTGATGGCGTCGGACACGTGCTGCGCGGCCCCTCCGTCGTGAGTTATGACGTCGGGCTCGTATTTCGTGTTGCCACCTCTGCCTGTTCACGCTGCTGCCAAGGCCAGCCCTTCTCTCACCACTGCCGGTCCTTCTCGCACAGCTGCAGGCCCTTCACGCACCATTGCCAGCTCTTCTCGCACCTCCGCTGGCCATTCTCGCATTATTGCCGGCATTTCTCGTGTTAGTGCAGCACTGTGTGCTGCCACTGTTCCCGCGCATGTAGCTGATAGCATCTGGGGTTCTTCCTCTTACTCCTCCTCACCGTCAATATCCGCCACTGCCGGCTCTCCTGCTATGCCGCCTCGCAAAGTCGGCTTCGCGCGCACGTTTTGCCACCTCGAGGGCGCAAGCGTCCGAAACTGTCAAGTCTTTCCTTGCATACGGGCTCACGCATGCAGCTAATGACGTTTGATTTCTGTCAACTCTTCTCGCACACGCGGGGCCGCGCCTGCAGTTGATGCCGCATTGTTTTGCTCCTGTGGCCGCCGGCCGCTGCCACTGCTGACCCTTCTCCGACGCACGGACCCACGTCTATAGCTGATGGTACCTTGGTTTTGTCCGCTGGCACCGCCGCCCGTTCTCACTCGTGCTGGCCAACGCCTGTGGCCGAGGACGCCTGGGTGCTGTCTCTCACGCCTCCGTAAACTGCCACGACCGACTCTTGTCACACATACGGGCGTACACACACACACACACACATACACACACACGCACGAAGCTGATGACATTTGGTTGTCTCTCTCGTCGCCGACGCTTCCCGTACGCTCTGGTTCTGCCATCGGTTTTCGCACGCTATGGTTCTGGAGTGCGTCATCGTCCCAGTCTGGCATCCACCATGTCCCCCAGAGAGAGTCTATGTGCTGCCAGTGCTGTCACTGCTGCCCCTGCCAAAATTCTTGATGATCCCACCAACTCTCCCACAAACTTCGGTGTTCTTGGAGCTCTTCGATCGCATTTCTGCTATCTTGCATCTTGTCGTTCACAACACGTTGGGCCGCTAGTTGCCTGGCCCGTCGGGCGAGGCGAGCCTGGCAGGCCCAAGACACTGGCAGCCGTCAACCTGATCGGCTGCTCACGCTGAGAAAGCGCACCATGCCGAGACCTCCACTCCATGCTGGCTGTCGGCGCCCGCGGGGGCGCGGCCCGCGTGCAGAGGCCGTCCCCCCTTTCGTGCGCGGGGGGTGCGAGATTCCCGCGAACGGCCTTCCTCCTCCTCCTCCTCCTCCTCCTCCTCCTCCTCCTCCTCCTCCATTCCTTCTCCTTATGAACAGCTCTTCCCTGTCGCACCCCGAAGCCAATCGGAAGGACGGGCTAGGCGGGTCGCCTGAGACTTTCTCACCGTGGATCCTGGAGCTGCGAAGTTGATAACAGCTTCGCACATTGAGGGCGGTCCGTTTTCAAAATGTGGCTCTCGCCTTAACGGCGCGCACCTTTCTCAAAGATTTGCAAGAACTTCACGGGTTGAGGGCGGTCCGTTTTCAAAATTTGCGGCTGTCGCCTGAGCACCGCGCACTTGCGTCTCAAAAGCTGCAAGACCTTCACGGACGGAGGGCGGCTCATGTTCTAAATGTGGTCATTGCCTTAGCGCCGCGCACATCCTTTCTTAACAGATATGCATGAGCTTCACGGATTGAGGGTGGTCAGCTTTCAAGACGGGGTTCTCGCCTCTGCGCCGCGCACATTCGATTTCAAGCTGTGCCAGAGCTTCACGGATGGTGGGCGGTTCGTTTCAACATGTGGTTCTCGCCTCTGCGCCGCACACATTCGTTTTCATTTGCAAGGGTGTCGAGGAATCTTATGGTTAGCGTGCCAACAATGATGTGTTGGAGAAGTGTCGGAATGTCAGGGCGCAACAGTTACGCTGATTCGTGGCATCGGAATCCCAAGGGTAGGGTTCTCACACGGTTCAGGATCATCAAATCGCGACAACAAGGTTGATTCATGGCGTTGAAGTCCCAAGAACTGTGATCTGTCTGGCACAGGTTAGGATTTCCGCACGGCTGTCTTCCAACGAGGCATTCCCCTCAATAGAACGAATCCTTGCAGGGGCCTATGAAATGAAAGCTTGGAGGGAATGTATTGCAACATCGTTGATGAGGCTTGGGTTTATTCCGCTGGTCCTCCTCCTCCTCCTCCTCTCCCTCCTCCTCCTCCCTTCCTTCCCTCTCAAAAACAAACCTCCAGCTAGAAAGACATCGGGGAAACAACGAACTGCATGCCCATTCACATCGCTCCGTGGACACCTGAGAAAGTCCTTGGTGAACCGTCGTGAACTATTCCCCCCCTCCTCCTCCTCCTTATCGTCCTCATCTTTGCCATTTCTGTTGTTTTTTCTGCTCTTCTTTTTTGTTCTGCTTCACCCCCCATCCTTTTCTGATCTCCCTCCTTTCTCCTTCCTCTCCTCTCTCACAGCCCCTCCTTTTTCTGCTTCTTCTTATCATCCTCCTCAAGTCCCTGAAGGCCCCATGAGAGAGAGGAGGAGGAGGAGGAGGAGGACGAGGAGGAGGAGGAAGAAGAGGAGGAGGAGGAAGAAGAGGAAGAGGAGGAAGAGGAGGAGGAGGAGGAGGAGGAGGAGGAGGAGGAGGACTCCCACCTCCTCCTCCCCTCGCCCATCCTCTCGCCCCCGACTCCGGAGCGCGGCCGGCGACCGCGGGGCGCGCGCCGCGGCCCGGCACGCCCGAGGCGGGGGCAGGAGGTCCGAGCCGTGCAGCTCCGAGATCAGCTCGGGGATCACCTCCGGGGCAAATGGGGGGGCGCCCGAGGAGGAGCCGAAGAGGAGGAGGAGGAGGAGGAGGAGGAGGAGGAGGAGGAGGCGGAGGCGGAGGCGGAGGCGGAGGGGAGGAGGAAAAGGAGGAGGAGGAGGAGGAGAAGGAGGAGGAGGAGGAGGAGGAGGAGCCGAGCCAGGCCGAGCTCGGGCCATCGTGCAAACGTCGCTGACAACGAGAGCTGCTCCTGCATGGCGCGGGCGGGCAGCAGCCGGGTGGACCGGCGACGCCGAGCCAGGCCGTGCTCGGGCCCTCTGCGCAGTCGTCGCTGACAACGCGAGCCGCTCTTGCATGGTGCGTGTGGGGGCGGGCCGCCCGCCCGGCTCGCTTGCGCCCGGCGCCACGGGCCATCGTGGCCGTGGCCCGACGGCATGTCGAGGAGAAGGGGCGGGGGGTCCGCCACGAAGATATGTACGCAGACATCCTCCGACGAATTTCGCGCGTACCTCCAGGAAGGGCGGCGGTGTATAAAGTCGCTGGCTCCCAGTTGTGATTTTACCGCGTCCGTGTGTGGCCCGAGCGGGGGCGCTGCCGGGCGAGCTGTTCACGAGCAGGCAGGAGCAGGGCTGGAGGTTTTTCGTTTTCGCGTTGTTTCCGTGATCCTTCGTTCTGTCTTCGTTCTGCCTTGGCTGCGGAACGAAAGCAAAACGAAAACGGTCCACGAGATCGCCCAAACACCTTTTAGCTCGAGCCCTGGGCGGGAGATGTGGTGGGCCACGCGGGTCTAGCTTGTGTTGCCGCTTCTCAGGCACCGGGCCGCAGCTCGGCTCACTCGGGTGGACTGGGGCCAGAAGCAGAACAAGGTCGCAGTCCACACGGCGGGCCGAACCTTTCATGTCAGGGCCTCAGGGGATCCCGCGACAGGCCTGAAGGCACCCGCAGAGCTAAGGCTGGGACCAAAGGCAGGGGGCAGGGGAAAAGGGAACGGGTCCGATGATGAATATTCTAGGCGTAATTGGCCTCCTGGGGCGTTTTCGTTACCCCACGGCTGGAACCTCCAAGAACTTCTGCCTTCAACGTGCACCCAAGAACAGATCTGTCAGTGACCCCCGAACTCGAACAGCCAATTTCTCGGCGGAAACTGAGTACGCTGACGCAACAAGAAAAACATATCATGAAAGCTTCTCGCCGTGCTAGGGCCCACGGGCCCATGGATCATCGAAAACTGCTCAGGATAGAAAGCTTGTCCCAGGGAAGATCTCCTCCTCCTCCTCCTCCTCCTCCTCTTCCTCCTCCTCCTCCTCCTCCTCAGGCTCATCCTCAGGGTCCTCCTCAGGGTCCTCCTCCTCCTCCTCCTCCTCCTGCTCCTCCTCCTCCTCCTCCTCATGGGGTCTGGAGCCCGTTTCCCTGAGGACCCTTGTCCTTCATTGGCGCGTGCGGCAGGTTCCTGTCGTGACGACTTGCGCGCTGGACTTTGACACCGCAAGGGTTGCTCACGCCTGCAGCGGTTCGATGTCGACCAGTTCAGGCCCAATTGCGGCGCCTCAGCCTCAGCGCCCGCGCCCGGGTCGCCGCCGCGTCCACGCGGCGGGAGCCTGCCGTACACCGGATTCACTTCTATAGCGCTCACTTCTATAGTGCTCACTTTGAAATTGTGGTCCGGAAGGGGCCGCACATGCAGGCACATGCCGCACAATCGCATGCACATGCCCATGCAAATATACAAAAGCCTCAACAGCATTGCCGCACATGCGCGCACATGCCACACCGTCCGACGCACAGTCGAATGCACGGTCAAGCAAAACTCTGAGAGCATAGACGCACATGCCCGCACATGCCGCAGAGATGTCGCAGGCGACAGTGGCCTGACCACCTAAGCTCGGGGCATTTCGCAACCCAGAGTTGCGAGGATGTCTCAGGCAAGCATGGCCAGACCACCATGGGGCAGGGCATCTTGGAAACCAGAGTGGCGAGGATGTCGCTGGTCAAGGTGACCAGACGACCATGGGGCAGGACACCTCCGAGGTCTGGGTTGTGAGGATGTCTCAGGCGAAAGTGGCCTGACCACCATGAGGCAAGAGATCTCTGAGGTCAGAGTTGCGAGGATGTCTCTGGCGAGAGTGGTCTGACCACCTCAGCCCAGGGCGTCTCGGAACCCAGAGTTGCGAGGATGTCTCAGGCAGGAGTGGCCTGACCACCTGCTCAGGGCATCTCGGAACCCAGAGTTGCGAGGGTCTCAGGCGAAAAAGGCCGAGACACTATGGAGCAGGGCATCTCCGAGACCAGAGTTGCGAGGATGTCTCAAGCGAAAGTGGCCTGAACACCTCAACTCAGGGCATCTCGGGCGAGGATGTCTAAAGCGAAAGTGGTCTAACCACCTCAGCTCAGGGCGTCTCGGAACCCAGAGTTCCGAGGATGTCTCAGGCGAAAGGGGCCGAGACACTATCGAGCAGGGCATCATTGAGATCAGGGTTGCGAGGATGTCTCAGGCGACAGTGGCTGACCACCTCAGCTCGGGGCATATCGGAATCGAGACTTGCGAGGATGTCTCAGGCGACAGTGGCCTGACCAGCATGGGGCAGGAGATCTCTGAGGTCAGAGTTGCGAGGATGTCTCAAGCGAAAGTGGTCTAACCACCTCAGCTCAGGGCGTCTCGAAACCCAGAGTTCCGAGGATGTCTCAAGCGAAAGTGGCCGGGCCACCCTGGGGCAGGGCATCTCCGAGACCAGAGTTGCGAGGATGTCTCAGGCGAAGGTGGCCAGATCACCTGATGTCAAAGCACGTCGGCCTCCAGATTGCCGACGACGTCTCACGCGGAACGGGCCCGACGCGAACGTGCCGGCGCCCGGAGACGAACGCCGGCCCCGGCATTCTTGCACGTCCCGCACATGCCCCGCACAGGTACGCACAGTATTCGCACAGGCCGAGCTCGCCAGTGGCAGTGGCCGAGCCAGGCCAGCGATTCCGAGATTCCCTGAGCTCGGGCCGTCAAGCCACTGTCGCCTGAGACATCCTCGCAACTCTCACCTCCTCCTCCTCCTCCTCCTCCTCCTCCTCCTCCTCCTCCTCCTCCTTCTCCTCTGGCCGAGCAGAACAGGCAAGCGGGCCGGCAGAGCCGGGGGCGTCCGCCTCCTCCGCCCCCCCCTCCTTCCCCCCCCCTCCACCTCCCCCCCCAACCCCTGCTTCTCCAGCCGAACTGAGAAGGCGCGCGGGCGAGTGTTTTACTAGGAGGGCACGCCACCGCCAGGTCACGAACCTGGCGAAGAACCGCCCCCGCCAGCAGCGGGCGAGTCTAAACGCACAACAAACTCTTTCAGGAAGCCCTGGCACGCCCCAGGTTAGCTTTGCGAAGGCCAGGAGACATTGGAGGCACAGGGGTCCCAGACAGCTCCTAGGGCATGAGCGTGCATGTGCATTGGGATGTGCACGCATGTGCGCCCGCGCGCTTCACCGCATGTGCGTGCATGTGCGGGCCCGCGCGGCCTCCCGAAGAGAGGTTGCACAGGCATGTGCGTGCATGTGCCGATGACAGATCTGCGATTCTCGAACACCTCCCGCATGTGCAGGCATGTGCGCGCATGTGCGTCGGACTGTGCGTGCATGTGCGTATGATGGATACAACAAAACACAGCGCACATGCCCCCGCACATGCCCGGGCACGACGTGCACAGTAGGAGGTCCATCCAAGAAGGGCGGCACAGGCCTGGCACATGACTGGCACATGCCGCGCACATGCGCGCACATGACAGCGCAAAAGCGGCCGCACATACACCCACCCAGGGGTACAGATGTGAGTGCGGTGTATGCATTCTCACTGGCTCGGGTGAGCGTGGTCAATGAACATGAGGGGGGGGGGGAACTGGGTGAGGAAGGAGGAGGAGGAAGAGACTGAGAAGGAGGAAGTGGAGGTGAAGCATGACCAGGCCAGGGAGGAGGAGCAAGATGAGGAAGCGCCACCTACCCTGCTCACGTGAACCCCCAGCACAGTAGGGGAGGGACGGTCCCTTTCATGCTTCACGGATCGAAGATCGAACATCCAGGATTTTCATACACTCTGGCCCTCAATGGGCCTGTAAAGGCATGTTGGAGACATCCTCGGAGCCCCAGAGAGCTCAGAAGACCTCCACCGACGCCCGTCTCTCTTCCCGTCCCCCTTTGCCGCCCCGCCCCTCTCTCTTTTTCCCCTTCCCCCTTGCTCCCCCCACCCCCGCCGAGGAGATGGGGGGAGAGGGAGGCGAAGGGGTGGGGGTAGAAGAGTTGGAGGCCAGCAAGACGCAGTGCACAGTGAACCACACACACACATACACACACAGAGCTTCTAGTAGGTGGCAACGTCCTTATGAGCGCCAACTGACATGTAAACCACCCGACCGAACGCCTAAGCGTGAATACAATTGCACTGCACATGACGGAACGCATTCCGCGGACGGAAGATGACCCAGCGCAAAGGTATCATGGGAAACACAAGCTGTCCAAGCGCGTTGAGTGGCACGCGCACGTGGCCCACAGGGTCGCCCTCGTCAGCGGTTGATACCGGGCAGGTTGGACGGGGCCCCCGATGATGACCAAGTCACTGCACAGCCACACAAACATCATGAGAACATCACCGATGGATCGCCAGTGTAAGCGATCCATCGGTGCATCATCGATCGATCGCCAGTGTAAGCGATCCATCCAGCGATCATGAAAACATCACCGATGGATCACCGATGGATCATTGCAAACATCGAAATCGGGATCGCCAGTGTAAGCGATCCGCGATGTAGCTAGCTACCCGACGTCGTCGTCGTCTAAGCTGCGTGCACGGTGAGGCGAATAGGTGCAGGTCGTGCTGTACGAATGTCATGAGGGGCCCGCTCCTCCCCCGACCCCGATAGACCTCCAGAACCCCTAAAGAACCTCTCAACATGTACCGACACATGAATTCTTCCGCTCTGTAGCATCCTTCCTTCGCATGGTCCCTTTATACAGTTCGGAAAGAAGGGGGATGAGGATGAGGGGGAGGCCGCTGCCCATGCACTCGTGTCCTCCTCCACCTCCTCCTGCTCTCTTCTCCCTTCTCCTCTACCTCGTCCTCCTCCTTCCTTTTCCCTCTTGATCCTTTCCTCCCTACTCCTGCTCCTGCTCCTGCGTCTCCTCCTCCTCTTCTTCCTCCTCCTCCTCTCTCGCTCCCCGTCTCCACATGATCCTCCCGCTGGGTGGATGCGAAGGCACCGCTGACAGTCTGCCCATGCCCAGCGTTGGATCGGCAGGTTCCACCGACTGCAGGGTCTCTACCTTGAGGCGGGTGCGGGAGGGAGATGGGGAGGATAGGGAGGGTAAAGTTGAGGTGAAGAGGAAGAGGAGAAGCAAGGTGAGACAGATGATGATGACGGGAAAAGAGCAAGGAATGTAGAACGCCATCAAGGAAAGTCTAAACCTGGAGGCAGAAGG